TATATATATATATATATATATATATATATATATATATATTATACTGTGTGTGCATATATATATATCATTTACCGAACCGCTTCATCCTCACTAGGGTCGCTGTGGGGGGGTGCTGGAGCCTATCCCAACTGACTTCGGGCAATAGACTGAACTGAAGTCTAAAGTCATCCTTTTGATGCGCTAAACATCACCATTCTCGTTTGTTCTTGTTTTGGTTGTTTTCATGTTTTTTTTCTCTACTCTGTTGTTCTCGACCACATAACATCATGACTCACATACCCATCTAGCTCATATCCTTTTTCTACCACCAGACATCAAAGCTTGCAGTCATAAAGTTTACTGTCAGCATAGCAATCAAAAGAACTTTAAAGCTAGTTGGATGTTTCCAGAGCCTCTTAAACCGACAGTAAGTGTTCCTGGTCCATGTCCGAGCGCTGAGGGGCGGCCCTTGTGGGAGGGAAAAACTAAAACCACAGTTATGCAAAAGCCACGCTCCCAGATCATCATCTTGTGTTCCAAGTAACTGGAAGAGCACATCTGGTCAGTCGGGCCCCCCAAAATTCACACTCCCCTGCCCTCCTTTACTCCACAGGGGCTCGTTAAGAAGCCCCTACCCCCGAGACTCTGTAAACTCATTAAGCCCCCAATTGAAGCAGTTTAGCAAGGAGCCAAAGTCTCAACCATTGTCTCTCAACTGACATGTCTGTTTGGATGACCTTTGACATCCCAGCAAGTCAGTGGTGAGGCAAACAGCGGCTTTTAAGAAGGTGTTTAGGTGAGCAATAACACACACTGCCCCCAACTCAAGCCGCCCCAAATCCTGTGTGTTTGTTTTGTTCCACTGGGGAAGGTAACAAGTTTTTTTCCCTGAAGGAAGGGAAAGAACATCCTGTTCTCTTTGTTTAGATTACGACGTCGACTCGCTTCTGACCCGCACAGGTGGTGTCACATGGGAGTAGAGCAGTCTGGAAAGTCACTGCTGTCTGCTGAATTTGGATGGTGCGATTCTGTCGCGAAAGATGAAAATCATCAATGTTGAATTTGAGGTTACTTATCCCCTGAGCCAGCATACAAATGAACAAAAAGACACCCTCATCCAAAAAGATGAACAGCGTCACACTCAGAATGTTACAATTGAAAAAAGAGCCCCTCTATCCCCCAAAATCTCATTCACCATGCAAATAAAAAGCATCAACATCTTCCCTCAGGCCCGATTGAAACTATCCTCTGTATTTTTGCAAAACCCTTTCAGGTCTTGGGATCTTCGTCATCAACTACATGTATTCTGATGTGAAATCTGGTTGTTTTAGTCAGGATTCTGCTAACATATATTTTAAACTTTTAATTTAGCAAATTCCTGTTTAATTCAAATACATTCCAGTTAATTCCCATCATGGAAAGATTATATAAATGTATATAAATGTACATAACCACCACACGGCTGACTAGGGACGCTGGGCAAAGATCTGTAATTTTCAAGCCAGAGCCTAATTACACTCTTTGAAACATTATGCCAAAGCCCGAAAGTAAGCAGAGCTGCACTGAGTTTTGCTAGATGCAGAGCTTCGCATTAGCTTCTGATAAGCGATTGGTGATGATGTGCTGACTCGACTCCACAAAATATGAATACACTCCATTAAAAACTCAGGGCTCAATTTGCAGGCAATCCGAATTCTGAATCTCAATTGCATGAAACAGGAGAGCCCCCTCAAAGCAGATTGTCATTAAGACAACCTGGGAACTGTTCTCCTTTGTAGAAGAAAAACCTGAGTATTTCTGCGATTTTCCTTTTTAACACAGTACGCTTTGAGGAGTTGATGAATAGAAAACAGAACTAAAAAGCATTTCCTTTCTGTCTCTTCAGCACCAGAGTGTTTCCCAGGAGGCCATCGCACACTGCGAAACCCCTACCGGAGCGTCGACTTTGACTCCACTGAGATCCAGAATACAGCCATTCAGGAGCTGGTTTGTGACCACTCGCTGGCACCGGGCTGGTACCGATTCAAGATCGACAACAAGCCGGCTGAGATGCCGACCACCTGCATAGAGGTACTGTATGTCCAAATTGCTGTTACGGATGGTGATGATGACATAACAGCACACCAAACAATAGCCGCATTCACAGCAATAGCCATGATATTATTCTGAAAATGTTTAGAAAAGACGTCAGAAGGATGAAGAGGAAGGGAAGCACAGAGGTTCACGAGTCTCAGGGCCCTTGTTCCTTTTTCTCTCTCGGCCAGATGAATCGTTGCGGGACGCAGGCACCCGTGTGGCTCTCACTGAAGGGCAAATCCTTACCTAGGCCTGGCGAGGTGCTCCAGTTGTCTGCCTGTGCCACCTGGCAGTTCTTTCATGGCAGCACCAAAGACTGCTGCCTCTTCCGCATCCCCATCACGATTCGCAACTGTGGCAACTTCTTGCTCTACTATCTGCAGCCCACTCAAGGATGCATGGGATACTGCGCGCAAGGTGTGCGCATTTGCTTCATAGTCCCGATTGGAGTGTTTGTCCACGTGTAACCAAAATCTGTCTGCTGTTCAGTTGCTCCAACTTTGGCACCTGGATTCTGCCCACCGGGTGAGGTGGAGGTCAACGGTCGGTGCAAAGGTGAACTAAGTTAAGAAGTATAACTATGTTGACAGACTTCTATGCAGCTGCCCTAACTGTCAGATTGCCTCCTTGCCGATAGCCGCGCTCCCGTCGTTGCCATCTCGGCCCATCATCAACTCAGAGCTAATCGGCCACAGCATCTATTTGAAGTGCTCCTTCATCCCGCCGGCATCCAGTCACCTGCTCGGCTTCCATGTGGTTTGGGCACGGCACGTCGACTACAGCATGAAGGCCGAAATCCACCAAGAGTCTACATTGAAGACCTTCTCGCTGCTGGAGATAGACGGCGTTCACTTCAGACTAGGAGAGACGGTAATACTTGCCAGATGCCCTTTTCAGTTTGACCCCTTAGTGGATGAAGTTGACCCCTTGTAGCCAAGGTTTAGTGCTCCAAAGGACAGCAGAGAGCAATGGGAAGGCTGTGTGTGTGTGTGTGTGTGTGTGTGTGTGTGTGTGTGTGTGTGTGTGTGTGTGTGTGTGTGTGTGTGTGTGTGTGTGTGTGTGTGTTTGTGTGTAGGGAGGGAGTTGCATAAGAAGCTGCAGCTTAGCTTTGTCTTCTTCACTCCTGTTATTGATCATTGCTGTTGCTTTAAATGTCCAAACTACAACTTGAGGGACATTTGCATCCTTTGTGATGCCAAGAAACTACTTTCAAAATGGTCAGCTTACTACCGATAAATTATTTGTCTTATCTCCTTTCACAGAAAGCTGTGATGTAGAAGTTTTTCAAGGTAACTAAGAAAAACATAACTACTTGCCTAAGAAATGAAGAATGTCAAGTTAGTTCTGTATGTGAGCGTAAGAGGAAAAAGTCTGAACCTCCCCGCTTAAAACGTTCAAATAATGAGCCTTTGAGGGATGACAAAAGTAAAGGCAGCAGTGGATCCAAAAGCGAACCGGCGACAGTTGGCAGAGTTTAAAGGGAGTGTTTAAATCGAGAGAGAGGGTCTGATGATCCAGCTCGGGACACAATGGTGGCTTGCAAACAAGAAGGTAAAGCTCCAGCTTAGGGTAGCAGAGCTGAGGGCGAGAAGAAGGAATGGCACAAAGCACAAGTGTGGAATCAAGTAGTCCGTGGAGGAAAAAGTTCAAAACGGAAAGGAAAGCATGTGCACTTGTAATGGCCGAAATACCACTCAGAATACATGAATCATATGGCACCCGCTAGCAGATCGGCAGAGGTATCACACACGGGAGGATCACTGCTGATCAGCTGCAGGTGTGGGAACACCCTCCGAAAATTACCTGGCCCAGCCTGATAATTAAAAGAAAAAGACAAACAGAAGTCCCCGTAAGTGGACTCGCCAAAATAAATGACCAAGTGACAATAAATACACAGAAGGAAGAGGGTCTGTGACAACACATCACAGAGACAGTGCCATGTGCAAGGTTGTAATCTTCTCGTCAGTCGAAGGAACGAGTGGCGACATGCTTTTTGCGCACCATCGGTGTCACGATTGGAGGAGTAGGAAGCACCTTTTAGCATTACGTACATTGTTGATAATAACACGATAATGTGTTTAGCAGTTCATTTCCTGGAGCAATTACTTGTTACCAGGAAAGATGAAGAAGTGACACTGAGGTGAAGTCATCCTCGCAGCTCGCCGCCGCACAGCTGCGGACCGCCGGGTTGCCATATTTGGGCTCTGGGGTGGGATTAGTCGTGTCTGCAACATGCTTCAGTAAGCTCGCTCACAAGGCCATTCGCGACATAACTTTGATTGGGGAGCGAGGTCCAAGGTCAGTTTAATGTTGTCATTGTGCCAGTGGGGAAATGTTTTGATGGATGACAAACATTTTGTCTGGAACGGGAGAAAAATAAAGTTCGCGTGAGACCTCACAAATCAAGGACTGTTGATTTTTGTCTTGTAGTTCTCGTGCAGCGTGTCCGCATTCCGAGTCAATGTCAACCACAGTCGATCTTCTGCTCGGAAGAGTGAGGCCTTCTACGCTGGGCTGAAGGTGAACAGGCAATCTGGTTTGAAGTGAAAGCAGAAAAGTAGCAAACCCCCATTTGCTTTTTCTCTCAAGTTTTCTGTGGAGTCGCTCCACATAGCGGAGAATGGCGAGGAGCATGAGGTCAGAATCCACAGCACTGTGCCTCTCCCCTGCTACGACTTCAACCGGTGCGGAGTCCCCCTGGTGTTGAGTGTGCACGAACCAGGTGAGATTAGCTGCTTTGAGCTAATCAGCAATGTGTAAAATATACAGGAATTCTGAACAGCCATTTCACTCAACTAAAACAGGCAGACTGGTTTTGCATGTGTATATCAATGGATGGATGATGTACTGTCTGCTGCATGGATCATAATCACAGCAATAGTTTTCTTTTAGATCAGTGGTTCTTAACCTTTTGTTAGAGGTACCGAACCCAACCAGTTCATATGCACATTCACCGAGCCCTTCATTAGTGAAAAATAAAAATATGAATTAAAAATTTTTTTTTTTTTTTACAAATTCAAGACATTTTAAAAAAACACATTTATTAAAAACTGAAAATAACTTCAACAGAATTTCAAGACATAAGTATAAGTTTTTTTAATTGTGCACAAAATGAACCAGCCAGTGATAGCCAAGCTGGCGTGTCGTGACCAAATAACATCTTGAGTCGGGTGTGTCTTAACCTCAATGGCAGAGGCTCTGTCGAACCCCTGAGACTGATTCACCAAACCCCTAGGGTTTGGTCGAACCCAGGTTAAGAACCACTGTTTTAGATGAATAGTTATAAACAAGTACCAACTCTAAAAAAATACTTTGCGCACCAAGTATCGCCACAATGACTATTAAAACACTTTGAGAAATTGCAATTTTCTTGTTGCTAAAACCCTTTTTACAGTAACTTGAAAAATACTTGAACGAACGTATATGTAATAATATGAAGAGGCATTCCTATGATTTCACAGACATAGCGGCCCCCTGAGGAAATCCGTAACTATAATGTGGCCCATGACAAAATGTATTTTGACCCCCTGATATATTTATTGTATTGCATGTGTTGCACCACCCAAAGAATAGACCCGAGAGATGTTAGCATGATGGAGCGCACAAACTGTAGCCGCTTTCACGTTGCATTCCTGAGAAGTCGCTAAGTCTCGGTTGTAACAGTAGAGATTTTTAATATGAAGTTTTTATGACACCATCCATCACTGTCAGGTTTATGATTGAATAATATGTAGTGTATGTATGTATAGACAAACACATATACATACTAGTCGTGATTAAAACGTAACATTGCTTCCTTACATGGCATTGCACTCACGCCTTACCCTCTTCGCCCTGGTGTCCACAGATGGCCTTGGACACGAGGTCTCCAATGTGGCGCTGTCTGCCTGCCAGGTGCAGCTCCGTCCGACCGCCTGTAGTGAGGGAAGCTGCGGCCAGGCGTCATTCTTCATCACCGCCGTCACTGACTTCATGCGCGATGGAAACAGGATCAGTTTGATCAGCGTCCTGCCTGAACACAGCACATCGCGCGTGTGGAGTAGCTACATTCCAACATCACTGAAAGTGAGTTCTTATTGATGTTCCATACATAAAACATTCAATTCTGGTGCCTGGTTCCTTCACTACGTCTAATGAGAACACGTTTAAGGGGTTTCCAGCTTTTTTTAGGAAATTCTGAAAGTTTTAAGTGAAAGTGTGGTTGCTTCTTGTGGATTTTAAAGTAAACAGACATATTATGGAAAATGTATTCTTGAATTGCTTGGCTATAAATATTTGCGTCTCTCGAGTGCCTGCTGTGAAACTGGGCAACCAAGTAAATCTGTTATCTGCCCATTTCTGAAAATGTGTCGTGTGTGAGAGAGCCACATTTTCCAGATTTGTGGGGCTGATATTAATATTATTATTATTATTATTGGTAATAGTAGTAGTAGTATTACCACTTCTTCGTGACTTTCTAGCTTGGTTGGACAAATATATATGTAGAGCCACTTTCAAGAACTACACTGTTTAAAATGCGACCTCAATGAAACACTAAGTCAAAGTCTATCAGGCAAGCAGAGCGTTGAGTGTTTTTTTGGATGCAGCTTCTGATAAGCACCACCTATTTCTACTTCTAGTACATTGACAGTGCGGGTGGGGAGGATTTATATAAAGCCATGTGTCCACTGTGCCACATGCACACAGTGTAGTGTATGAGTGTGTTTTTACAGGAGCTTACTTTTTTTTCCACATTCCAGGCTCTGATTCCGCAAGTAGTAGCCATTCAAGTCACAATATTAAGTCTTCCCCCCTAGCCATAACAAAAGCTGGATTCATAAAATGTCTCAACAGTATGTAGGGTGGGTATACAATTGCTGACTTGCAGAAGATAATGTGCTACTTTCGGTATAAAAAAATTCTTGATCCTTTTGATCAAAGTATGGCACAGACATGTTATTAAGACATCTGGAAACTGTTCCAAATTGTGAATAAACAATGCAGAACATCCTTAACGTGATGTGGGCAGTTGGACTAATGGAGACTCTTGAGATTTTTGAAGAACTTCCAAAGCCTCTTCAGAATGAGTTAGGAGGTCCTTGGGGAATGCTGCGGGATCACTGAAGGTCAAGACTTTAATGAAGGCAACTCAATTTAATGTAACATTGGAGTACAACTTATTTAAACGGCAGTATTCTCTCTTTACATAAGATGTACAAGATATGAACTACGTCATGAGACTTTTGGAGAGGTCAATGATGATCTTCTTACATGATCATTAGGTTTGGTTTTGACAACTTGTGGGTGCTGAGACAATTTCACCATCTGTTTTTCATGAAAACATCAAAGCCAGGGGTCAAAATGTCAATGGCAAACCCCCTTTTGTCTTTGGTGTCCTATTCCCACCTAAAGGTCACAGTTCAGGATGTTCCCACCTCTATCTGCTACTCACTGACAGACCCACATGTCATTACGCTGGATGGCAGGTATTTGAAGGACAGAGAAGACCTCATCAAAAGACATATTCACCAGCTTTCTCTCACATGATCGCACAGGCACTATGACAACCACCAGACCGGTACGTTTGTGCTGTACCGGAGCCTCGCCAGGGACTTTGAGGTCCACACCCGGCATTGGGACTGCGGCAGCCGACATTACGCCGTGGCTTGCAGCTGTGGCATTGCGGCGCGAGAGGATAATGATGTGGCCATCGTTGACATGTGCAATGGCCAACAGCAGGAAACAAGGCCAAAGCTGACTGTGAAAGGCCTCGGCGGAGAGCACAACGGTAGCCGCCGTGTCCGTGTTTTGGAATCTCATCATGGGAAGAAGGTCACTGTAGGTATCCAGTCTTGCAAATCATATCAATATTTGCGTGACACAGGACATTTCACCATGACGTTATACATACTGTGAGCCAAAAAGTGAAGGATTCTGGAATGGCACCACAAGTAAACAAACCCTTCCATGTCATTTGACAAAGGCAGAGTGGTTGAGAAAATATCTACAGGATCTATTTCAAAATTCAAAAAAATCCAAATAAAAATATCAGCTTTTTGAGGCATTTCTGGCGGCGCAACACCAAACACACAAGTTTTTGTCAGGGGCTTGATTCAGGTCAGTCGTAGTCACTTGTGTTCTGCCACCTGGACGTCTCTGAGCATTTATTTTTTACAAACATTTTGAAGTGTCCGATAAGGAGTCGCATTGGCTGCTGCCACTCCTATTGCAGATAATCTTTCCCTCTGGGGCCTTTGTCCGAGCCGATGTTGACGACTGGGGGATGAGCTTGTCTGTCCGGGCACCAAGTGTTGACTACGGCAAGACGCAAGGCCTCTGTGGTACCTTTGATCGCAATAGCAACAATGACATCCATGGTTACAAAGGCGTCCATGGTGACTTGCATGCATTCATAGAGGACTGGAGGTGGGTCACATGATCATTTACTGTCGCTGTGTTGTTGGACTTTTACTCACGTGTTAATGTTTTGGTTAGGATAGCTCCTGGTGAGAGCTTATTCGATAAAACGCCCCCAGGTTCGAGACAAGAAGAAATGAGACCCTTCTGTCACTGCCAGAAAGGATACAGTTCTCTTTCCTCCTCCGATGAAGGAGTCAGGCATATGTCTGGTCTCCTCACTCACTCTGACTGCATTGCACAGGAAAATGTGGATTATACTACTCTGTTTTCCTCACTGGATACGACATTGGAATATGTCAAGGGTCTCCAAAGAAAGGGAATAAATCTGAACGTGTCCTCCAGTCAGCCCTTGGAGGGGAGGGCCCATCATTTCAGTGTGCACAATGATGAAGAATTCAGAGATGACCATTCGCGATCTGATGACAGACTCATGAGACAGACAATGTTCAAGTTCCAGTCGGCCTCTCAAAGCATCAGGCAGGCTGACCTGGAGCACCTTGCCTACTTCTTCCCCGAGGATCACCTCGTAAAAGCGCGACTACAAGTCCAACCTCGGTGGCCCACACCAAGTGGCCTGACCTCTGGCAAAGCACTGGACGTGTGCCACACAGCTTTGTCCAATTCCACAATTGGCACCGTGTGCCGTGAGCTGCTGGGACGTCGCCTTGAAGAGGCTGTGAATCTCTGCATCCTGGACCTACAATTAAAAGATGACCTGGGCTGGGATGAGGCAATGCTACCCTACCTAGCAAACGAGTGTGAGCGGAGGCTGCTGGAAAACAGGGCCCAAAGAAACCACGGAGTGCTGGGTCACCCAGAGGAGGTGGTGACAGCACTGCGCTGCCCCAATTTCTGCAGCGGCAATGGAGAGTGCACAGAATTTGGCTGCCTGTGTCACCGAAGCTTCAGTTCATATGACTGCAGCGTGACCATCGGTGAGTGACTTCCATCACAATACTTGGAGTTGAATGCTCTTTACTGAAAATTCCTGTCTCTGTTTCACATCGGCAAAGGCCAGCCAGTAGAGCTAATTGGTCTGGAAAACGGCGGCCTATGTGACCTCAGAACATTTGACTGCCGGAAAGTACGGGTCTTCGGTCGGGGCTTTATCGAGTCACCTGACCTGAGCTGCCATGCCACCAGACTGAAGGTGAGAGACCTCCAGGTTCCTTTCGAGCCTATGTTTCCATCAAGCAGCATGATTCACTTCAGTATGGTATGCAATATTTAGTGTTTCCAACATTAAAAGTTGCAAAAGATCAAAATAAGCAATTTTGCCCATCCCGGTTCACTGGTAGGTTACACTCTGACACGAGTTCATATCCATCTCTCTAAATGTGGACATGTGCCTCTCCAGTATATGAATGGCGTTTGGCTTCCAGGCGAAAAACAGAGAACAAGAGCCACTTTCCTCAGCTCCAAAGCATTGGACTGTGGCGTCCCCTCATTGAGCAGTGAAGCCATCAGCACAGAAGACTTTATGATGGATGACAAACCGTATGCACGTTGGGAGATTAGGGTAGACAGCTTTAATCTCCTAACTAGAGTTGTTTCTTGTATGTTGTATGCAGCCCTAACTGTTCCCCCAACCTTCTCTTCAGGTGACCAACGATGGCTCGCATTACAGTTTAGCCAAAGTACTGACAATATATGACGGCAGTTGTCAGGTGTGCACAGAATCTCGCTCAGGAATCTGTAAATTAAAGGTAATTTACATGTTGAACAGAAAGCCATGCCACAATCTCTTGGTCTTCATATGTTAAGTGATGGTGAATTACCTTTGTGGACAAGAAAGTAATGGTCGGGGGGGGGGGGGGTCTACTGATGACCAAAGCAGACATTGTTTGCCCTTTCCCAACACATGACATCTGCTTGTGACCATAAAAAAAGCCAAGTGGGCTTTGTTGTCACTGGACCAGGTTTTACAGAACATGGTCACAAAGAGAAGCCAACCTAAACTTGCCACAAGTCGAGATGTGGCTTTTGATGGTCTATTTCTTTGTGAATGTGTCTCTGGCAGGACCGGACGTGTAACATTGACGGAATGTGCTTTGCAGAAGGAGACACAAATCCAGGAAGTCTATGCCTGCTCTGCGACCCGGACACCTCCAAATTTACCTGGTCGCTCAACCAAGGTATGGTACTGGGCCTCCATAAGTCTTTACGGTCTTGTCATTAGTGGGGAGATCAGTCGTTAAGTGACTGCAGGAATGTCCACAATTACCACAAACATGTTCATATGGCTGCAAGCCTCAACACACAGCAGCAGCAGCAATGGGGGGTCCACATCGGCGCTTGCGTCCTTTTATGACGTTGTAGTGTTTGTGTTCTAGAGGCACTGCTTCTGCTGCTAAAAGACAGACAGCGGTAGATCTTACTGTGAGGTCAGCCCACTGGGAGCCTGTTTTCCTCTCTTAGCAGTTGAAAGGTGCTTTCCCAGAATGCACCTGTTGTTGAACCTCCACAGGAAGTATATGACATGCTTGATCATGTTAACGCTTACCAACACTGACAGAGTCTCCAAAAATAGATTCAACAAAACAATCTGGAGAAAACTATTTTATCTAAACAATTTTTTTTTTCCCAGTCAACCAGCCGCCCACCTTCCATCAACCTCAGGGCGAGCTCCGTACATTTGCCGGAGAAAACTTTGTCTTCCAGTTCGCCGCATCAGACCCAGAAGGTTCAGCCCTGCTCTTTCAGCTGGTCACCGGACCAAAGGGTGCCATCCTCTCACCTGCTGGGCTCCTTATTTGGAGGGTCCCATCACCTCCCGATGATGAGTGGATTCAGTCAACCTTTCACTTCACGCTATCAGATGAGTGCAATGCCCAAAGCACTTTCAAGGTTCAGGTAGCTCCACATAATAAAAGAGAATAATCACCAAAATGATGCAAAGGATTATATTTATCAGATGCACATTACTGGTTTGCTCCTGCATAGATCCATGTGGTGCCATGCGGATGTCAGAACAGCGGCACATGTGAGACTGATTTCACTTACCCTGCTGGCAGTGGAAAGTACCTGTGTGTATGTCCTGACGGGAAAGAGGGCGACCTCTGCCATGAAGATGTAGACAAATGTTTGTCCGCACCTTGTGCAGAAGGAACATGCATTAACACTGGTGGTGGATTCAGATGCAACTGTCCTGAAGGGCTGACAGGTAACGCAGTTTCATTATCCATCTGGCGTCCTGTGGTTTACTTCTATGTCTCTACAGGTGCAACATGCCAGGAAGATATAGACGAGTGTAAGCGGACACCATGTTTCCCAGGAGTCCACTGTCTTAACAGTCATGGTTCCTACAACTGTGGTCCTTGTCCCCAAGGCATGCCGGGAAATGGCACAAAATGTCCTGGTAAGAATGTTCATACTCTCACAACCTTTGGACACATTCAGCGCTCAAAACATCAAAACATAATCAGTCTCCTTCATAAAGTGTACATGAAGCCAACCACCGTCCCACCCACATTGGCTCCAGGAACGACTGTCCCCAAGGTTAAAGAAGTTCGGATGCAGAGCGCAACTGCAATTCCCCCAAGAATCCAAGTTGCCAAGATCATGCCAAGAGCGGAACCCTTTGGACTGCCAGAGTCCCCACCCACAGCATGGACGAGAATTAGCTTGAGCTCTGTCCTGCAGATTCATACAACCAGCAGCACTTCCAAGAATACAACCGGGATAGCACCTGACCCAGTCAAGGCTGGTCCGTCTCAAAACAGCACCACTAATGAGAAGAAAACCAATGTGATGCAGAACTCAGGAAAACCAGCTGCAGGTGAGGTTTTACTTGGAGGCCGGCCTCTGGCAAAAGTTGTAATAAAATGAGTGGAACTAGGAGATGACCCCTCTCTTGACATAACTTTTGTCTCTCTTGATTAATTTTTTTTCTGCCTGTCACTGTCACAGCAACGTGCACCAGCAGGCCTTGCTTCCCTGGGGTCCTATGTATCAACAGGAGGCCGCCGCATGTCGGCTACGTTTGTGGTCGCTGCCCACCCGGCCTTCACGGCAATGGGCGGATCTGTATGAAGAGTGGCAAGGCTGGTAAGAAGGTTGAACATAGTGGGAGTCCAGTTTCATTTTACTCAGGACTCAGTCAAAATCCTGTCATCTTCTCTACTTCTTCAGCACCCAATCACCTTTCACTTGAGCAGAAAGTAGGCCCAAAGAGTCGATCCTCGCACATTAGCAGCAAGGTGTCCAGCCCTCACTTACCCTCCCTACCTTCCAGAGACGGCACCAAACGCTTATCTGTCACTAGAGATGCCACATTACGTCGAGCTTCACCTTTAAGGAGGGGAGGTGGTACCGGAAGGCGGCAGGTGGACACTGTTGATGTTGTTCGATCAACGATGAGTGCTCTTTCTACTGCTGCCATCTACAGAGACAACGCGACACCCTCCAAGGGGGTTGTGGTGCCCCGTGTGACAGACCCAAAAGTGAGTCTCATCTAGATGAAAGCATCATGTAATTCAAAAACTAAACCATCTTCTGTTTGTGGCCATGTCTTAGCCGCCTGAACAAGCCGCACCCTACAAAGTAACTCCAGCATCTCCTCGCATAATCACTCAGCCTGGCCTTGTGGCAAAACCCAGACAGACAAAACCTCCACTTCTCAACTACTTTGAGTCCAGGCCTTGGACAAGACCTGCACGGCCTCTTGAAGTTTTGTCTGACTCCCTGCCCGAGTCCGAGTTATCTGCAGACAGGGAAGAGGCCGTATTGACCCTGACGACACCCCGTCATACCCCACCTCTCCAGAGCACATCTTCTATCCAAGCGCGGATCAGTAGTCATGTGACGGAAAAGGAACACATCCTGCCATGCGCTGATCAGCCATGTTTTCCTGGTGTCCAGTGCGATACAGCGTTGGACGGCAGTTCCCGCTGTGGCCGCTGTCCTGCTGGTTTCACCGGTGATGGAAGGATGTGTCGAGGTGCGTTTGAGTTTATTAATTAACCATGATTTGACTGGTTTGGTGCTTCTGTTTCAATTGTCCTCTGCTCATGTGTTCCAAGCTGTTTGCAAGCACACGTGCGGACGGAACATGGAGTGCGCTGCTCCCAATGTGTGTCTCTGCAAGGCAGGTTACTCTGGTTCAGACTGTCAAACTGGTAAATTGCTAATTCCATTTAAATACTCGCTGTTGAGGTGGCTTCATACAAGTTGTTACATTTGAAGGTTCATCACGGCAATGTTCAGGCGAAAAGGCAGGTGGAGCCAGCCGCAGGGAATGAATTCAAGGGAATCCCAAAAAGCATTTACCAGTATTAAGCTTTACACGATCACCACTCAGCAAGTTAAAAAAATCTGTATATTTTTTCCATATATATATATATTATATATATATAGATAGATAGATGGATATATATAGATATATATACGATCACCGATCCGAAAGGATGCACCAACCCATCCAATCTGTTTAAACAAGTTGTTTTTTTACTGTACAGTTGATACAGAAGATTAGGACCGGCGCACAAATAGCCAAAATGTGTGTATGAATACCATTGAAATGCATTTGTGAAAGTAATAACAATTAAAACCTAAAAATTTTCCCGAATACACTGTTCAACCTTATCTGCAACAGCCAATCATGGCATTACTGAAAATAAGGTTCGGTGGGCAAGCATATAAGCCATGAATACGTCAATGTGTGCATGTGAGAGTCCTGCACATTTTTCTAAGTTTGGTATTGTGTAATGTTGTAAGACGTGTTTTGTATTTTATGGACGATGTATTTCTCTCGTGAAGTGACATAAGCTTTGTCATGTGCGCCTCTATGAAGAAGAAAACACCCTAAAATCCCTAATACTGTATTTGGGTAATCATTCTAATATTTTCAGAGGTTGATGTGAGCATAAAGTAAAGATGTCAACATAAATTTTGGTAACCATCGATTGCAGTTTTGGCACATTGGGCGACGTTTAGGGTCCTTCATTAAGGAATTAGACTGCCTTTCCAGCAGCTCGTCTACTTTTTGTTCTACTTTCTTCCATTCATAACTTTGCTGCTGTAAATTGGGAATTTCTCTATTGTGAGACGAATAAAGGTTTTCTTGTCCTTATTCTTATTCTTAATGGTGCATCACTGTACGCCAAGTGAGGACGGACATATTACATTAGTGTTGGCAACTAAAGAGGCATTTGAACTGTTTAATACAAGATTCCATGGGAGCCATAAACTCTTTGGAATTCTAAAATGAATATAAATATTATTTTCCTTTCACTTTTCAATTCTGTAGCAGACAATTGTTGAAACAGGTCAGCGCGATATGTCAGCAAAATAGGGTAAAGTGCTCATCTCTGCTTTCAAGCAAAGCCAACAAAACAACTGTCAAACACAGCAGCAAAGAAACTTTGGGAGCAATCTTACCACAATGACACGAAAGGCAAACAAATTCACAACAGAAAAATGAACTGCTTTGTCACAGATCATGATATAAACTCTTTCAATCTTTTTTTTTTCCCCAGCAATTTGTGAACCGGAGTGTTTGAATGGCGGGGCATGTATCGCTCCAGGGATTTGTCAGTGTCCCACAGGCTTTCATGGAGAGACTTGTCAGGAAGGTAAAGATTCATTTGATCATCGGGGTCGAGCAGAACCTCCACACAGCTTCTTGCCACTAATGAACGTCAATGTGTGTAGCTGTGTGCAGGTTGCCGTGTGAAAACGGAGGCACATGCACAGGATTGCAGACATGCTCATGTCCTTATGGTTTTGTTGGGCCGCGATGTGAGACCAGTGAGTTCACGGCCACTGGAACTTCTCTTCCTGTTTTGAGTCAAGAACAGTTGTATTGTCGATTTATTTATTTTGGTTTGAGTTATGAGCAAGTTTTTGATATGCTGCAGCTCCAACGAAGTGGGAGGGAAAAAAAGAGAGTTTATTGAAAGGTACAAACAGCCTAACACGCCAATACTAAAATGAAAACGCTCACCCGCAGCTAAAATAGGCCAAGGCTAACTGGCCATATTTCTGACATCACACACTAGGCCACGGCCCTTAAAGGCACATGCAACACTACATATGTTGTTGTTAGATTGGATTTTGGATTGGATTGCTTAATTGTCATTACACGTTCGTGCAACGAAATGTCACTTAACAGGCACGCTGTGCACAAGAAACATGAAAAACAGGGACTCTGTTTGTCCCAGTGTACAGTAATTACACCTTATAAAGCCAGTTTGTTGCTTTACGGTCTCTTCATGTTTTGAAATGATTCCATGCAATTTAAATGCGAGTAAACCTCACTTTGTGGTATTTTTGTGGAGGGCTGCAACGGATTTATGTGCATTTCAATTTCAATGGGGAACATTGATTTGGTATGTAGTTTTGTTCAACTGAGTTACATTTGAATGAATGTAACAAATGAAAATGTCAAGTCAAGGTAGCACTTCAGTATGTTTCCCCCTTTTTAGATCTATGATAAAGCATACTTAGCCATTTTTAAGAGTTAAGGGTGTGCATATGTTTGTGTTGTTGGTCATAGTGGTTTGCAGCCACCACTGTCACAACAGTGGCCGGTGTGTCTCGCCAGATGAGTGCAAGTGTCAGCCTGGTTGGAGTGGACCTTCCTGTGAAACTGGTGAGCATGGATAAGAGATCAGCGTTCTGCGTGTGTACTTGCGATGCAACTGCACAGGTAACCCACGGCACGGGCCGTACTTTGGTTTTTGGACCACGGTTTCAATTTCACATTGAACAAATAGCAGTGTCACTGGTCCACAGGATAATATAGAACTTTTCTTTTAAGACAAGTTAAGTTATTACACAACATATACACTACTTGTATAGTCTTTGAGGTTAGGAATTACAACGCTGAAGAAATGCATACGGCAGGCCACAACATAACACGGATCAAGCATTTTCAGTCAGAGACAGGTCAAAATGTTCCCACTGAATCTCTAATGTGAATTATGCTGCCATGATGTCTCCATGTTGGATTTGTGTAGCACTTTGCTCTCCAGTCTGCCTGAATGGAGGTTTGTGCATTCGGCCCGACATCTGCGAGTGTCCTCTGGGTTTCTACGGTGCCCATTGTCAAAATGGTACGTGCAAAATGATGACGAGTATTGCTATCGTTTGGCCTCTGAACCACTGATGGTAGCTCCTCCGTTTGCAGCCATCTGCACACCACCTTGCAAGAATGGTGGTCTGTGCATGAGGAATAACGTCTGCTCGTGCCTGCAGGGATACACCGGCACACGCTGTGAACAAAGTCAGTCACCAGCTGTTTTTACATTGCCTTCTTGACAAATAGCACTCTTGTGGAAAGTTCCTTTCAGTTATGTCTGGATAAAAATCCAAGTACAGTCACACAAAATAACTTGGGACAAAGTTATTTTGTACAAACTAAATTCCAATGAAATTAGGACATTGCCCATCTATCCATCCATTTTTTAATTAGATTTTCCTTACGAGGGTCACGAGCGCGCTGGAGCCTATCCCACCTGTCTTCAGGCAGTAAGCTGGGGACACCCTGAACTGGTTGCCAGCCAATGGCAGGGCACACATAGACAAACAACAATTCACGCTCACAATCATCCCTACGATAATTTTAGTGTTCCTTTAATGTTTTTGGAATGTGGGAGGAAACTGGAGTACCCGGAGAAAACCCACGCATGCATTGGGGGGGCGTGCAAACTTTGGGACATTGTGTTGAATATAAATACAAACAGAATACCGGGTACAATGATTTGCATATCATGTTCAGCCTGTATTTCATTGACTACACTACAAACACAAGATATTTAATGTTCAAACTGATCAACTTTTTTTTTTCAAATTATCATTTATTTAGAATTGTATGGCTGCAACACATTCCAAAAAAAGCTCATGAGTGACGTTATCACACACGTTAGCCTGGCCATCCAAGAACACACCTATTTTGACTTGACTAGATGAAAAACAATTAAGCTAACCTACCACCATGTGCTTCTTCCTCTGAGACGAGCAGTTTTTGAACGCCAATTGGCTATTTAATCCAACGTGGTCCCGTAGCTTTGCTAACGCTGTGAACTGAATAACACCAAAAAAATAAAATAAAAATACACCTTACTTGCATTTGGTTTTCTTACATTCAGTGACAGAGTATTTGTACTTGTTTCCCACAACCGTCCCTCACCTTCTCTCCAGGCGTGTGCGAGCACATGTGCATAAATGGCGGCCGTTGCGTTGGTCCCAATGTTTGTGACTGTCCATCAGGTTGGCGAGGAAAGAGATGTGACAAACGTAAGAAGCGCTGGGTCTGCGTGTGTATTTTTATTGTTGCCATTTGTTCACCCATGCTGAATCTCTGCGCCTTTTTATTTATTTTTGGGTCCTTGCAGCCAGTTGCGAGCAACAGTGCCTGAATGGGGCTGAGTGCGTCGGACCAAACACCTGCCACTGCACACCGGGCTGGGGTGGAATGTTGTGCCACATCCGTGAGTATCAATCACAACGTGCGCCACACATGCACGTTATCTTAAGGTCCGTTCCACGTTAAGCAGGTCAAGAAACACACTCCTAAGACATGAAAGAAAACTACCTGTGAGTGAACCCCCACCTGAGCATGCATTTGGTCAAAGCACACACACCAAAAAAAAAAAAACTTCCTGTAAGGAAGGAACCTCAAAGAGAAGCCAGGCTCTATGGGATGAGAACAGTTGCCTCGGCCGGTTTGGATTGAGTTGAAGAGGACAGGATAAGGAATGGAGGGGAGATAGAGAGAAAACCGAGTAGAGCAGGGATGGGCAACTTAAATGATGGTGGGGGCGCAATTTTTCATTAGTGCTATTGGGGGGCCACAGAGGTGAACGCACTTGCGAACCAGATTTATGACAAAATGACCTTTTAAATATGGACAAAATACATGCTATTAAAATCTTAAAAGTCTTTTAAAATATATGCTATTAAAATCCTAAAAATTATTTTATAATCTCCAATTTACATGTAAAAGGTTGACTCTTCAAAGAGTTTGAAGCATAAACAACAAAATAACCACATACTGTATTTTTTTCCCCTAGAGCAAAGAGCTGTATAAAAAAAAAATATGCCCATTCAAGGATGGCACAAAACCGCTGAACAGCAAACAAACATTAGGGTCAATAACTCATTTGATGCATTCTCTCACAAAAACAACCTACTCAAAAGGTTAATATGATTGAGGTATTATGTTTGTACTGAATATCATTGCAAATGCACAAAAAAGTATTAATCCTAATTACGTTGTAGTACAGGGCAGTAGAAGACCCAGTGTATGCTCAACTAAGAAACGTTTCCCATCTAGTGGTGTTGATATTAGAATTTAAAACCAGAGCATAGTCACGGTCCCCCCCACCCCTCTGTTCACTATCAGCAATCAGCGTAAATCACGTCAGGACTAATTCATTGTGCCACACGCAATACAGTGCTCACTATTTGAGGTCTGAGTAAATCGAACCAGTTGCCTTTTAAGCCATGTTTCCACCTAATGACTGCCAAAGGACAGTTCTATTCATCGTGTCACTGTTTGGAATTGTTAACTCACAGACCATTGCGGGGTATGTAGGTACTAGGCAGCATGGGAATAACTTTGTCAACTTTACCTAACTCGTGTGACATCATAGCATAGCAGCAACGTTTTGGATACAACAAAGAAGTCGGTGACACAGTAACAAAATGTGGCAGCAAAAGAAAATGAGGGCTCAGTTGATTTACTGAGTGTGCGTGTGTTTGTGCCATTTTTTTCCCAAATGTCAATGTCCAAAAGTCGAAGGGCATGGACGGGTCTCAACGGGGCTGCAGTGCATTCACTCACCATTTGTTTATTCAGGCAAAGAGGTCAACAGTAAAGTTGTGGAAGTTGTGGAAGAAGAAAAATGTTTTTTTTAATTCATCCATCTATTATCTGACCGCTTATCCTCACGAAGGTCGCGGGCGTGCTGGAGCCTATCCCAGTCGCCGTCGGACATTATGGGAAGTACACCCTGAACTTGTTGCCAGCCAATCGCAGGGCACAGATAGACTACCACCATTTACACTCACAATCACACCAAAGCACAATTTAGAGCGTTCAATCAACCTACCATGTATATTTTGGAATGTGGGAGGAAACCGGAATACCCACAGAAAACCCACGTAGGCACAGGGAGAACATGCAAACTCCATACAGGAATGCCGGGGCCGGAATCGAACCCATGACCTCTGCACTGTGAGGCAGTCGTGCTCACCCATCATCCACCGTACCACCTATTTTTCATTTCACAGACAAAAATAAGTGATTTACAAAAAAAAAAAACAATCCCAGAGATAGTGGCTCCAACAGTGTGTGTGTGCGTGTGTGTGCGTGTGCGTGCGTGTGCGTGCGTGCGTGTGTGTGTGTGTGTGTGTACGCGCGCGTGCGTGTCTCATCCCTCAGCTCAATGTCAACAAAAGTGTTTGTACGGAAGCCGCTGTGTGAGGCCCAACGTGTGCGCATGTCGTAGCAGATTCTCAGGTGCTCTTTGCTCAAGGAAGGTAAGAGAAATTTTAATATACATATATATATATATATATATATATATCCCAACACGCGCGCACACACACACACACACACACACACACACTATGCCCTCAGAATAACTAAAGTGACTCAAATAATGTCACGTTTTGATAACAACTAGCCATATTCCCACCCCGGTCAAGCGACTCAGCGTTACCAAGTCTGAAATGTGAATGGGGAACGGGTGTGTTAGATTTGGTAGTACTGCTCTCTGGCAAGGTTGTTATTTTCTAGGGGACAGTGAGTTTATAGTTTTATGCAAACTGCACACTGATTACCGTTACTTACAATGCAATGCAGCAACATGTCATTTCTCATTGTTGTCCCATGAAAAGATGCAATCAAATCTTTTTTTTTTAAATGCAAAGGAATAGTGTACTTCTGATATATATATTTGTTTTCTTCTCCAGCTGTCCATCTAGATTATGAGTCAAGTTTGTGGTGATTCTGAGGTCTCCGCTAATCTTCTTCATCCTCGAAGCCAATATATGAAGAAAAATGATCTATGCTTCCGGGAGAGGGCTCCATCCCAAGAAGGCAGCTATCTCTTTGCTAGCATGATGTTGTGTAATGCCCACCTAAAGTTGATACCATTTTGCCAACATCACTTTTTTTTCCTGTTATATTTAATTTAAAAGGGTCAGTAACATTTAATTGTTAAACTCATCTTTCCATGGATTTATTTGTTGTTGTGTACAGTATATATCTTTACCCAGTAGAATTTATGATGTCATTGTGTAATGCTTGTTTTAGAAAAATACAAATAAAGAAATAATATAATATATTTGTTTCCACCATGAGAGACACATAATATTATAATATGGGTGGGGTGGAAGGACACGGCTCTTTATTATTTTGAGTATTTTACATTTCCTGAAAACTTATATATATATATATATATATATATATATATATATATATATATAAAAGACAATGTTTGTACATGGAACTTGGGAGTTATGTGTCAGATGTTTCTTGAATAAAACAACAATATTAATTTTACTCAAATACATACCTACAGATAGCAAAATCTGAATTTTTGCCTTGGTCTCTCTCTCTCTCTCTCTTTTTTTTTTTTTTAACAGTATGTGAAAACACTTTATACCATTAATTTTGTAGTAGCGTTAAACTTGCCCCAGTGAGTCACTTACATGAATTGTTTGGCACATTTCTGTCAGAATATCTAGCACAGCAAATGGGTCGGTGTGACATTTAACGCCGGATATGTAAATCTGCTATTTCAGCGAATCATTTCAATTTGCATTCTCAATAAATAATGTATAAAAACTACCAAATTCGGACTACTGTATTTAAAAAGTCAGTGCCCAAGAGATGTGCGATGTGCAAATACACGTTTTGAGTACCTGTACCTCAATGTGTTACAATTGGAAAAAAAGACAGAAATGTAAGTTTCTCTCAAGAGCGATACAACAAGCTAATGGCATTGAATTGGAGCGAAGGCCCAAATGCAAAGCTTGACTGGGTCTGTTTTGCTCATTGAAAGTGCAGTTTTGCTCTTGGTGATCTGTACGGCTTGCCCTGCAGTGATGCAGCGTTTGCCTTTGCTGCCCGGATTCAGGGCCAGCAGGTCTCAAGGAAATGAGGATTAAAAGCTTAATGAGGCCACATTAGCTGTGCACCACTTCCACGCTAATGGCCAGTGAATGATGTAAAATAAGCTTTGCTCGAGCATTTGTTGCTGATTTCGAGCTCTTCGAACAGAGAGCAGAGCCTTGTGCAGCTGCCACAGCACTGATCCAGAGGTTTTGATTGACTGCTTTCAAGAATAATCCAGCCCTTTCACCATGCTTTGTGTTTCACTTGCCTTTTTATTGGGAACGGCATCAGCAATCCAAATTGAAGCTTTCGTTCTGAATCCATCTGCTGTCCTCTGGTGGCAAGGAGATTTTCGACAATAACAAGTGCACTGCAGTTTATCTGTCTGTGGCTGTTCGTGTCATGTTAAATTGGGCTCGTTAACGTCATATTTCAAGGGCTGCATTCCGGCCCTCTCTGGCCTCATCTTGGACCTCGAATTTGATTTTTAACTCATTCACTGCCATTTGGACATTTTCAAGACCCACAGTATATTGTGGTCAATCGTTATAAATACACCAAATAACTAATGAAAAAAATAAACTCTCCTTTCACTTGCAGGAAAATAAAGTTTGATTGGACCTATTTCCGTTCTTATCAGCAGTAGAATAAAGAAAATGGAAATGGAGATGATTTAGCCAAGGCAAAATCTTTTATTCCTTTTCCGCCAGGTGAACTCCTTGTTTGTTTTGACACATTTAATAAATGGGGAAAAAAGCTTGTTGCTGCTATCATGTGTTAGATCAGGGGTGGGAAAATTAGTGCTTTAACGGCCACACACACATTATGAATTTCAAAAATGACAGGAGGCCCAGCGCAGTTGTAGATGAGGTTAAAAAAAGACATTAGAATGTGTATGCAAAATAAAGTAAATAATCCCTTTTTTAAATTAATGTAATTTAGTAACTTTTAAAATGTAATTATACAAAGTATGTTAAAAATGCCTTTTTTAACTAACATATTTTTAATTTATTTACAGAAGATGCTTCGCAAACAGCAGCGCAGATCCTCACCATAACTGGTAAAGGTTCATCTTTGTCTCATCAATCACTAAAACTTTGACCCAGGTTTTTTAGACTTGCCTCTGGAGTGTTTTTTTTTTTCAAATTCCAGCCTGGCCTTTGCATTGTATTGTATGTGTATCTTGGTGTTCTTTTGTGCATGGAGAGAAGATTGTTTTCAACTCTGCCCTCTGGAGATTGTTGCTGGTGCCATTAACAATTGTTTCTGGGCTTTTTTTTTCCAACGTTGATTTATTCTCTGATATTCCTCTTTTGATGTCAGGCTTGAATGTGTTAGTCTGGAGTAAAATTAAAGGAATTAGCCTCCACCACTTTTAGAGGTGAAAGTAAACCTCAGCCAGGCTTGTTCAAGCAGGGGTGCGATCATGTTGGCCCCTCCTGTTGATTCGTTGTGATCTGTAAATGAAAGATACAAGTCTCAAGTACAGTTGGTTTTGTTTCATGCCCAACATTGTGGCAGAGAGTTTATTTGCCTTGATTTCAGGTTTTGCCAGAATGAGACACTTACCATCGCATAGCAATGTTTTTCTTTAATGCTCAGTACCTCCATTTATAAGCGCTCAATCAGGTTTAGATAATTGCCACTGTCTAACATTCAGAAAGGGGTCTGTCTGTCTTGTGGATATTTTGACATTTACATCGATCTTCTTCGAGTAGCATTGTTGCCTTTCGGTGATGTGAAGTGTTTTTATTCTTGAAAGAAATAAGTGCAATCTTCCACCTGTCACGGTTCGGTTTCTGGTCTGACCAGCAGGTGGCATGTGCGGTCTTCGGTGCACACCTGCTGCCAATCCAGTCATCAGGGGACTCTGTATTTAAGGACTCTGCTTCACTTCAACTGTGTCGGAGTATTGTTTATTGCCTTGCTGTTTCCATGCTCTCTGACCGCTTTTGCTATAGTCATCGTCGTGTTCACGCTTTTGATACCTTCGGTAACATTGTTCTTGTATGTATGGCTTTGTTTTGTGAATTGGCTTTTTCTTGCGTGTAGTTGTTACATTGTTTTTCGTTTGTATTCTCGGTACTAGTTATCTTCTCTTGCCTTTTTGTGCAAGCGCTTTTTGTTATTCGTTTTTGTTTTGTTCTGCCTGGTCCTTGTTTGGACCAGCGGTTTATGTTCTACTTTGTCGGTTCGAATTTTTTGTATTAAACATTTTTGTAACGGAGACCTTGTTGGAGTCTACACTTTTGGGATCCAAACTTATTTCGGCTTGTCCGAAACCTGACACCACCTAACCATATGAACTTCTCAGCACCGATCAATGGTTTCTTTCTGTTATCCAACAGATTTGACTCAAATCAGCTAAAAGGTGGCGAGACTCATCTATGGATATTTATATCCCATCCAAACATGGCAAGATGCAAGGTGGCGAAGGGGAGGGGTGTGGATATCCCTCACAGCGACCACTGACATGGCAAGTCCACCTGGACTGTTCACTCAGAGGAAGGAACACAGCTTAATAAACAAGCTTGGAGGCTGCAAAAGAATGACACATTTGCTGACTAAAGACGCGTTGGTTTTCACAAACTAATCCATGTCAAAAATTCGCTAAAAAAATTGTACTAGTTATGATGAATTTACTGGAGCCTAAACCTACACGCCCTCAACCAGCTGAGGCCTGGGGCCTCTTCAGAAAATCCAGTCACCTCACCTTTATGCAATATTCCCTTCAATTTTGGGTTAGGATGAGTTAGATTACATCACTGTAAGGTTAAAAAGAGATACAATGTTAGGTCCTTTCTAGCATCACAAAGGACTGCATGTTTCAAATGAATTTGACTCCACTTTCCGAACTGACGTCATCTTGCAAGAAGTTTTGCTGATGCAAATCTCTTGCTTGCAGACTTTACCTGCAAAATATTAGTTCAATAATTAAATGAAAAACATACAGGCTCAAATTGTTTTTGGAAAGATCATTTCTGATGTTTTTCATTGATTTTGGAATTGCCCTTCCCCTGTTGTTTGTCATTTTCTTTCTGCTTTTATGGAACCACACCTTCCCTTGTGATTTGAATTTATATTTCTTCATGTGTGACAAAAAGAAAGTTATACTACTATTTTTTTAATGAATGTTGTTGTTTTTTGCCCACAGTTGGAATAGTTAATAGAAATTCTGCTATTCGAATGATGAAATCATTGAAAATTATTGGAGTGAAAAGAAAATCAAAATAAAGCACGAACCCTCGATCTAAAATGGAGCATAATACAGTACAGTATAGTGTATTCATTTTTTTTCCTTTTTACTCTTCACGTGCATAGAATGAACAGCAGGGGGTGGCACTGCCTCACTTGTCTCCAAACTGACGGGGGGGGAAACAATTAGATTTACGACACTCAATGGCACTTTCCGGCGCGATAGGACATTAAGCAGTGGGAATTTATACTGTCTTTCTGTTTGGCAGGCACATAAATCACGTCTTTTTTCATCATTAATGGTACCAATCCCAAAAATATAACATTTAGTGATACAGTAACACGCCATCGTGAATAAATCACTCTACTAATGTAGCTGCCATGGCTAATGTCGCTTGTTTACAGTACTAATGCTAGTTTAGTAATGTTATGGGTATAGCGCTGCTATTTTGTTGAAGCTAGATAGCCAATGGGTTCTCTGCAACTATACAGTATTATGACTACATTTTCATAATCGGATGCCATTATGAGTAGCCATTTTTGAGAATCGCACCAGTGCAATATTGGTGACGGGCGTGGCTTTCGTCTGAGACTCATTAGTGGTGAGGCTACATTCACATCTCCTCTTTCTTACTTCTTTGTATTCACGTTTTCTGGATGCAACCCACTCTTCAAATTTTTTTTCTTCTTGGTATGGGACCAGAGGTGGCTGGGTATTTGGGCACTGACTGGGAATCGAACCGTCACTCAATTTAAGGTAGCAGAATGTACTACTATATGACCAGTGCCCCATGTTGACAAAGGAGTAGAAATCAGCTTCAAATATCAGATATGAAGTAAAACGTCATCATAAAAATACCTGCAAATCGCATATGTGGGTCTCTGTGCACTTCGTGACTTCCCACCACAACAGGTGTCCCCCTCGCCACCATCCTCCACCCCCTCCTCTCCTGCACGCTCCACCTGTCTTGCCTTCTCTGCCGTGGGCTGGCGACGCAGAAAGCAGCCGTCATTCAGTAGAAATGCTATGCTGATCCGGAGCGGATCCCTCAGTCACCGGATCAGGAGCAGCTGCTCGGGCAGTCGGTGCTATTTTCACCCTGAGGATAAAATGATGTGCACACCGCGTTGACACGTCAGGCTGCCAGGATGAAGTCCGCAAACAGCGAGCGCCCCGACTGCTTCGCGTCGGACCCAGACGACCCGGAAAGCGAGAGCGACGGTTCGGATGGGAAGTCCACTGGCGCCTGCAGCCCACGCCGCGGAAAGGAACCGCAACCTGTCAGGCGGAGGTGTCGGCGGAGAACCGGCACAGAGGCGCGTCTACCTGGTGTGAGTAAACAGAGGCAGGCGGCCAACGCGCGAGAGCGTGACAGGACGCACAGCGTCAACACGGCCTTCACCACCCTGCGCACGCTCATCCCCACCGAGCCTGCCGACAGGAAGCTCTCCAAGGTGGAGACGCTGCGTCTGGCGTGCAGTTACATCTCCCACCTTGCTAACGTGTTGATGCTGGGGGAGGAAAGCCGCGACGGGCAGCCGTGCCTCCGCCACCAGGCCGGCGTGCACTGCCCAGCACAACGTAGCGCGCCGCCGCTGCGGGCCATCTGCACCTTTTGTCTAAGCAACCAGAGGAAGCAGGTCAGTCGAGTGGCTGGACCAACTAACCGAACTCGAAGAATGCGCCAACAAAAGAAATAAATTTTCATCAAAGTGGTAGCACAGACTACAGTACTGTACTTGAAATACAGGTGTTTAAAAAAAGTATTAATTTCATTTAACAGAAATGGAACTCAATTTTCAACTCCATTTTACGTATACAGTGGACCCCGCTATTTGCTGGGGATAGGGACTGGGACAGCCCGCGAATCCTGAAAATCCGCTATAATTGATACATAAAATAATACAAGTGTAATTTTTTTTTTCAAATCTCAAAACATTTTTGAATAAACGGGAATATCCTACCAATAAGCATTTTACGTGTAAACCGGGTTTGGCTTTACAGCCACTAAAATAAAATAATGAAAACGTGTGTGTATTTTTTAAAATCCGCAAACAGGTGAATCTTTGGGTCCCAAACCACAAATATATACTGAAAAAAAAATGTGTTTAATGTACTCAATTGTATTTTATCAAGTGGTTGCACAAAAAATAATCTGGATCCAGATACATTTTTAAGTTGACGTTTAGTCTGCTTCAAAAGCCACTTGATGACATAAAACTGAGTAAAGGCAACACACCTTTTTGCCAGTGTGCAGGTGTCCATTATAGCACTAACCACAGCTGTAACAAAGTGCTGCTCATAAAATATACATCATAATAATTCAAACAGTAGGAAAAAAACTGCAGTATATTTTTCTAATTTAAATACCCAATAACTCCCTTATACTTTGCCATTTAGCATACAGGAAATGGAGTGTTTTATTCCTTCTTGTTGCACTTGTGTGAAGCTGTTAGTCGATGACAGAAAAGCAAGACTGACCAAAGTTTCCCGATGGTGCTGCAATCATAGACCCTACGGCATAAAATAGTGAATTGTAGGCTGGAATTAAACACATCCATTAAGTTGATGTTGGTGACACTGTCAAAACAATTGTCTTAAATAAGGTCACAAACGGGGAATATCTTGCATCTCTGATTGTGTAATGGTTGGTGAGGACCTTTGCTGTTATCCTTTTTCACTAGACCTCATTCAAGTCCCAAGCACAATTCATGTTCCTTCTGTCAAGTTACAGCTTTTTTTTTTGTCACATCTACGCAGGTTGGAAAAAAATAAGCCTATAATGACATTAGTAAAAAGTAGACGTTTTCTAATTCAGCGAATAAATGTAAATACTGTTACGTGAATTTTCTCAGTCTGCACAATTTCATCCTGTAGCAATAAAATGCAGTTAAAAGCTGACATTTGACAAGAGTGGACAAGTAATGTTTGTTGGGAACAACCTATTCTTTCAACATGCAACTCAAGTTGTGTGCTTTTCACTTAATTACAAATGCTTTTTTTTTTTTTGTCTCAGCAGCTCAAAGATGGCAGCAAGCGTTCAACTAAAGCTTAAGGCCTCGGACCCACATGGAGCAGTCGTGCAAGTTTACATTTGTACATATTTAAAATATTTATTCTTAGTTTAAAAGTTAGGGAAAAAGAAAATGGACACTGGAAAGCACTTTCTGTTGCCATCATTTGTGCCTGTGAAGCAACCTGTGTTTTGGTTGAGCTGCAACCTGAGCCCATGTGTAAGGTTGCACTATTTTGGTCCCAACAACCCCGACGTAGCTATTACTGCAGGAAGTAGACCTTGATCAAATACCTACAATGTTGTTTTTTGCACAAAACATCACTCTTAACGATGCACAAGGCCCTTTTGTACAAGGTGTATAGAAATTGTGCATATTTACAACACAAATATATAACCCTCCGAAGCAATGTTGCACTACCTCAAACATGTTTACCTCAACATCAAATGTGTAACATTACTGTATTTGTGTGGCTCGATACCTTTGCACATCAAATAATCTTCTGGAAAAATAAATATTTTTGTACCATAAAAAAAGTGTCATCATTCAGGTGGCATGTTGCATGCTGGGAAAACCTTTTCCTCACATCGGTGGTGCGCGTATCCGTCGGAATGCTCCCTTGGTCAACTAAAAACACGCGTGATCGTTTCATAAGCTTTATTTCCATAAAAAAGTCAATTGGTTTACATCAGATTAAAGAAAGTAGAAACCAATAATCTGATTGCTGGCGAGGCAATATATAGGGTGGGTCTTTCAACGGACTAAACAGTGTGACCACAACAGGGGGGGGGGGTAGGTTACAAAAGGAAAGCGGAGTTTAAGTGAGAATGAGCCAAAATGATTTGGGCCGAGTTTTAAGTGAGGGGATGTTAAAGAAATGAAAACAAACGACAAGAAAAAAAAAAAAAGAACTTTGGCAAAAAATTGTCAGTTGGCCTCACAGTCTTGTGGTAAATTGATGTGAACTCCGAGTAAAGGCCAGAGTGAGCAGAGGCCACAAAATCATACGGAATGTTTGCTGTCCAAATTAGAGGGCACTGCAACAGTGGGAAGTGAAGAGGACACCAACAGTAACAAACGAGGACCGAGCCCTTTAAAAAAGGTTCTAAAATAACATGTGCAGGTTGTGAGGGAACAATACCAGGAGGTAGAAAAGTCAGAAGGGCATTGACATTCTACCAATCCCTTTTCTACTAATTAAAAAAAAAAAGTGGTGGTACGTGAGGGGGCTTGGGGTGGGAAAGCTCATCTGGCGTCTGAGGTTTTCAGTCCGCTTCCTCTTCATCCGATTCAGACTCTGCAGGGGAGAGAAAAAATGAAATTATAAAAGGTCAACGTTTCAATGACTTGATCACAGCATAAACCAATTTCCAAACTAGGGCCTGACCAATTTGAATTTCTTTAGGCCAATGCTCGCACTTGGCAGAAAGAAAAAATACAGATTAGGCCAAGTGATTAATCGGCTGATAATTTAAAAAAATAAATAAGTACATAACAGATTAAATCATTTCATTTTTGGTTCTCTCACCCAATAAAGCATTTTGCTTAAAAATTACAATTATCAACGTTATTTTTCAGGTATTGTTCTGGTACATAAAGTGCTAAAAAAACAGCATACAAATGCCAATGATATTTTTTTTGCTAACGTTAGAAGTGTTCTCAGCACTATATAAATCTGTGACATTATTTTCCTCTGCTGGACAAAAAGTCTCCTCTGCATTCTCACCTTCTTCTGCGTTCTTCAACCACTCCACAAACTTTTTCATCTGCTCGAGGAAGACGCTCTTCCCCTTGGCGAGGTGGGCTTCAGAGTACCACTTCAGGATGGCCTCTTCGCTCAATACATCCGCTGAGGAAGAGGAAAAGGGGAGGGAAAATCACTAAGGCTGCAAGTTGCTGTAGGCAACAAAAGGCCTTTAAAGGCCACTGCGCACCAACTGATGAGAATCAACTGGACAATCTCCCTTAAATATTCCCCTTGCAATAGAAATGTTTCCGTGGTCGTGTTGAGACACCACGTCAAAGAAAACGCATCAGCCGTTGGCCACTGTAGCCATTTAAAGGGGAAACGGGTGAGACGAAAGCAGAGAGTAGATATTTGAGATGCTTTTGGCTAACGACAGCCTCATTCATTGACTGAACTTGGGCATTCTGGCAGCAGCTCTCCACGCTTCACTTTTAAGTCCAAAGTAAATATCGGATTTTGTCTCAAACTAATTTTATTAACATTTGTCAGTTTCCACATGGTCTTATTTTTACAAATTATCAACCAATCTCAAGTGTTGTCAAAAGCTTGAGAGCAAATCTTTGGACTTGACTGGACACTTCAATTGTGTGAGGAGTGTTCCATTTGCATTGCTTCACAAATAGCGTTTCCCCATTAACTATGAAAGTGTTCCTTGTTGGGGGGGTCGAGGAAGCCCTACACTAATGGTTATTGCTGGCAACAGTGAGTACCCAAGCATTCTAATCAATAACAACACACTAATTCAATTAGTGAATATTCAACAAATTGAAAAAAAAAAGTGATTTTCCTTTTTTTTTTCTGGGGCAGGCAAGCAATTTACATTTCACATCACACCAAATCTAGTTGCAGATGGTCGGCCATCCAACTGTGTCCGAACCACACATTGCATGACAGTTGAGTGGCAGAGGTTGTGCGTGCGTGCGTGCATGCGGCAGACCTTTATAGAGGAGCACCACGATCTTCTGAAAGGCCTTCATGAAGTGGATGTTATCGTAGCAGTACTCCTGGATCTTTAGCAGCAGACTGAGCTCAGAAAGACCCTGGGAGGTGAAGGACTTCAGCAGAGGGCTATATTGCTGTTGAGGGAGAAAAAAAAAAAAGAAAAGAAAAATCACGTTACGTCTGGTCTGCTGAACAGGCGCGAGGTCACAAACGCACAGGGGGAGTGAACAAACCTTCAAGTGTTTGATGGCTTGTTCGGTCACCAGCTCTTCCTTTTTATTCCACTCCACAGAGCTCATCACACAAGTCCAAATGATGCCGATCATGGCCTGCTCAGAGAGGTTGGCCTTTTTCATCTCCTCCCTGGTGAACGCAATGATCTGTGGGAGCAGGCCACCATTAAAGCTGATCCTGGGGAACAAACAGAAAAGGCATGTCGCTCCCAGCTAGGTTGCCTTGCCTCTTTGAGTGGGTCTCCGCGGGACATTTGCTCCTGGAGCTCCTTCTGCAGCTCCTTGCGGGCACCGATAGATTGCTGGTTGCGGGCGAAGTCGGACAGCTCCTTCAGCCCGGCGTCTGTAAAGTACTTAGAAAAATGCTCGCAGCTCCGCTTGTTGGCAGGAAAAAGTTCCTGTCGGGAAGAGGCAGCAGTGTCAGAAAACGCAGCGCAGGGAAATCTTGGCCTCACGAAATCTTTTACCATCAGTCTGTTGTCCATGCCCACTTTGCGGAGGCTGCCAGCTACTGAGTTGATGTCTTTCTCATTGATCCACGACTTGAACAACTTGACGGCAAAGGCAGCAGACACTCCTAAACAGAAGAGTGCGGTGGTGACGAGGACAGTCCCACCCACATGCGCTCAGCATGACACACATGCCCCTTACCCTCTTTCACAAGGTTTTCGTTAAAGAGGCTGCTGAGGATGGAGGCTGATATGTTGCCGTTGGCCAGCAGAATGCCAGTCAGCATGGCCAGCTTGTTGCGCTCAGACTCAGTGAACCCTTTTAGAAACAGCAGCAACTGTGCACACAATAACATGATGGCTACCGAGTCATCTGCAATTTGCATGCAGTTGTCCTTTAGCAAAATTAGACACTGCGGGGTGCTGTAGTCTGAGTCATGCTCATTTGTCCAACCCATAACATCCACCGTTCACAACGTGCATTCACTACCAACTCAGATCTTCAAACTAAATGTGCTCACCTTCTTGATTTCCTCCTCAAAACCCTTCTCCAGGTACTTGTAACGCCTGATCAGCTTGTTAAAAACCTGGGGGGGGGGGGGTATTTTGGAGAACATTTCAAGTAAGTGTCAATCAACAGGTCGTAGGGTTGCACATTTTCTGGAAGTTTCAAAGGTGAAAACTTTCCACAGGATGAAACCAGGATTTCTCAATAATTGAAGGTTGGTGCTCAATAGGGAACTTTACATATCATTAGAAGGTTGTTGTAGCATAAACCTGACCAAGTTAGCTTTCTCATTACTTGGCCAATATTGTGTTTTATGTTACAAATCGGAAATCATAGGTAGAATCTGCTAACAAGCTGTTTTTCCACTAGGCAGGCAAATGACCAAATAGCATGCAGAATGATTTTTCACCAACCAGACAAAAAGAAAACATACCATGGGAACACACCCACCAGAGACATAAATAGGGTGATTCCACAATGAACATGTTTACACTAAAAAGGTCTTTTCGATTAAAAGTTAAGATGTCTTCAACAAACCAGTCCAGTTGCCCTCGTTCAACCTTTTTGAATCCAATTTGGAATATTTCCACATAATCCCCACCGTAACTTATTTAAAATTAATTTTAAATTTGCCTGAATGTTTACAGAGACTAATTGAAAGATTTCCCCCCCTACCTACAGGTTCTTATCTAAACTTCCTACCTACCTGAGCATATGCTTGCATCGTCTCAAGGTCTTCTTGTGCCGTAAAGAGGCAAAACTCTGTGCGGGTCATGTCGTCAGACAGAGTCCCACCTGGGGCTGCATGAGAACGCAAAGACAATTAGACATCAGTTCAATAAAAGGATTGTTCAAGGCAATTCCACACAACGTACCCAGCATTCCACCGGCCACCAGGATGTCAAAGAGTGTCTCAGCATAGCGGCGGTAGTCAAGCTTGGCGCCAGAGGCATCAAGGAACTTCGCAACCGCCTCCAAGTCAGTGCCAGTTTGATTCAAGCCTTGTACGATACTTTCTTGAAACTGAGTAGGGTCAAACCTCTCCTTTTCATCTGAAGAGGGAGAGCGTGCAATTGTGAGAACGCGAAAAAATCCAAGGAGATCATACAAAAGTTTCACCAACCTCTTTTCCTAGTTTTGAAACGCTGGCCTGTTAGCGTCGGCTTTTGCTGCTTTAGATTATTCATAAAAGACACCTTGCAAAAGATGAGACCGGGTTTAAGGAGGTTGACAACGTATTGTGCACAAGTGTTATTTCCGGGTGAACTGTGACCAACTACTTGCAATGTAGTTAACCGCACATTTAAATGTCACCAACAGCGAACAAAGACTAAGACATTCCACGCAGCTACATCGAAAGTGTGGCATGAATAAAGGAAAAGAAACTGAACGTGTCATACACGGCTGAAATGAAAAACACCTGGCTTGAGCGGACAAGATATGGCTTTAGCTGTTAGCCTTAGCTCCCCGAGGGCCTTACCATGCGCTGAGCTAGCACTGGTTAGCTGGGCCCAGCAACAACCTGGTTAATCTGAACTACTAAACTGACGGCGGACCGATTTCTTGTAACGACATTTATTTTAGGGAGCCCTTTCACGTGAAAAGCAATGTCGGCCAAGTGTCACCTGGCAATCTTTGCAACGTACCATCGAAGGGGTGAAAATCCATAAATTGGGCTGATTTAGCGTAACGAGCCTTCGAACTTAGCCCATGACGGCAACGGCAACGCTAACGTGTAACTACGATTCATTTTAACGCCATCGGATCACATTCTGTGTCGTCTTTAATTATTTGATGACGTGGACACAAAACAAAGTCAACACCCATTCGACTACTCACCGAAATGAATGCAGATAAAAAACGGTTATGAACCAGAGGACTCGAACGGAGTGTCGCGAATGTTGGAGAGCCCCAAACAAAAAGACCTTAACGTCGGGACTTCCGCAGGCTCCACCCTCTGCGCATGCGCCTGCAACATTCACTTCCGCTTTGAAGGAAAAAAAAGAAAAAGAAAAAAAAATCTTTGGGTCTACCTGTAATTATTTTTGCGTGAATGTTGAGGCCTTACAGCTGTTATTCTAGAATTTCAACTTTATTTTAAGACTGTTATTTTTGCACATTATATTTTATTCCTCGCACTTTCTTGACGTGCTACTCCTTCTACATGTTCCGACTCTCACCATTCAAACTTCAATTTATTCCAAAAATTCATGGTTTGCATTTTTCTCTTTTAACCAAAACATTCAATGTTACACATTTACATGCCATTTGAAGTTCCAAACATTTAGATCCTTCAAATCACCTTGGGAAGAATTTTCAACATTTCAAACTTTCACATAGAGTAAAAATTTCACATTTTTCCCAGTATCGTTCATAAATTTCGAGCCCCCCCCCCACCCCAAATCACATTCTGCATTTACCACTTCTATTTTTCACATACATTCACTGAGTCACACCATTCCAATTTCAACACAATCAACACATTGATGCTATTCAAGGCTACTGTTTTTTTGTAATTCCAAAAATTCAAGTTTGAATTTTTTTTTCACCAAAAATGCACTATTAATCTCCAATGTCACACTCAACGTAAGCAGATTCAAATCGTTCCTGTTTGAAATTTAAATAATTCGGCTCATTTAATTAACCTTGATAATGATTTCCAACATGCCAAAAATTCCCACTTACCAAAAAAAATTACATTTTCACATTCTAAATGGTCCCAAAATGTCATTTATGAATACCTATTTGGTTTTTCCCTCTAATTTCTACTTTGTTTGACCGATTCAAGCCGTTCCACCTTTAAACTGTTCAGTTTATCGCTACTGCAATTTTTTTCAAAATTTAAAGACAAAAACTATAATTCTGTTGTTTTCCCGTCTAATTTCTACATTTTTTTCCACAGATATAAACTGTTCAACATTACTATTCATCTTATATATTCCGCAATTATTTTTCAAAATAAAAGCCCAAATTATGATTTTCTTTGTTTTCCTCCTTTAATTTGTATATGTTTTGAGTGATTCAAACCATTCTAATTTTAAACTGTTCAACGTATCCGTCCCACAATTCCTTTTTCAGAATTTGAAAATAAACGCTCGAATTTGAGTTTTTTGGTTTGTTTTTTTCCTCTAAGGTCTACATTTTTTGACCGATTCAAACCGTTTCAACGGATTCTCCATAATGGTATTCACCCTCCAGTCTCCACAGATATTAATGACCATTCCAACTTGAACAAGTTCAGATCATTTCAGGTCATTGTATGTTATTTCATGTGTTTCAGTATCATTCTACATCATTCCACGATTTTTCATTCAGCCTCTAGAAAATGCATTCGGTCGTTAATATTATTGTGCGCTGAGGGGTGCTTAAGGTGCCTCTGATTCATACATAAAGTTATTAAGTTTGGGTTTGGTGGAAGAGATAGACCCGAAGGATAAGGTGAAATGTCACATGTAAAATTGGGCTTGTGCCTTGTGTCATCATGACACCTATCATCATCCACCAGTTTGGAGGTTACAGCAAATGCAGACAAAGGCTTAACGTAGGCTATGTAAAGGCAGTGGATTTGTCGCATTTCTTTGAGAGTCAAAAACAAGTTATAAGACAAGAAACTGGTGGGATGTTTTCAAGGACAAGCTAGACCGCGAAGCTCGAGACTATTTCTGCTACGTTGTTCATTTCGAGGATTTATGCTTCCCTGCAAGCCATAAATCGTGTGCAGTGTTGCTGCACTTTTGTTCCGTACATTGTTTTTTTTCTGTTCATTTGTTAATAAAGTGTGATTTTTTTTTTTTTACTTTTCCAACTGTAACTGTTGCATGTTTGCACCGTGGTTGAGAGGAAAGAAATTTCATCTGTGCTGTATGTTGTACAGAGAGCATATTTGATAATGAAGCTGACTTGACTTGACTAACTGATCCCTGTTTGTAAAACACATTTAAGTTCAGTAAAAAGGCAGAAACAATTGGCAAGATGAAAATGGCTCTTTATAACACAATTGATTTCTTATAGAAGAAAAGAATACCTTCAGCAGTGGTATTCTTCATGAAAATGTACCGAGCACGCTCTCACAGTTGATGGCAGGTTGCCGAAGGGGAATTTTTTTTTTTACAGCTGGCAACCAAGCCATCTGATGTTGCTTTGAGATCTCTGAAACGAGGTTTCCTTCTGTCTTCCGCTAAGCAGGGAACCGATAAAAACTTTTTCTGTTGTCAACTTTTGTCACTTTGCGATTGGGAGAACCATTGCTGCAAACCCTAACATGGCAAAAGTGGAACCATACAGTATTTCAATTCAACCGGCTAAATATGACAGTGACTCAAAGGGAACACTGTGACAGAGCACCTTTCACATCTTGCATTGTTGTCCCGTTGTCTCCAAAATGCCTGATACGTCGATGATGATGCACATTGCACATTTCGAAGATAGGTGGGGGAGAATTTTTGATTACTAGACGCTGGTGGTTTTGGCATGAGCCTTGTCATCATCCACCTGTTGATGTAGTTAAGATCTTTCAAAACAATACCTTCTCACCATTTCTTAGTGGGAAAGATCATATTTATTTGTGTCATATTCAAGTATCAAGTACAACTTTTTGTAGTTGTACTTGTACTGTACAACTATTGAGATGAGCATAACAGTATGGAGCTTTCAAGAAGTCATATCTAAGACAAGTAAGCAGAGTTCATGTTGTAATCGAGGGTTTGCAACTTGACAACTGCCAACAGGTAAAAACACCACAAATTAGGAGAATGATCACTTACATTTTTAATCATGTATTTATTTTTTTATATACATATAAAGGCTCTTGAGCTAGCCTTTTTGTTTATAGAACTTCTTCGTAGTTACATATGGATGTTGTAAAAATTAACTCCATGTGGACATGAAAAGGTTTTCTTTTTTCGTATTCAAGTGTTGCATCAGACTCACATTGTCTTGTATGTTATTAAAATAATAAAGATGTAGGTGAAAAAAAAATAACTGTCAAGAGTCACAATAGATGACTGAGCCTTTTAGATCTTTATAGCCCAGGGTTGGAATCATCCCATTTCCTTCTCTTGATTCTGAAAGGCCCCAAAATTAATTAATTAAATAAATGCATAATTCGTAATAGTATAAAAAAATGACAATTGTTTTGAGCCCATCATGTTTATTATTTTACTGGTTTAATCAATATAACTAAAACCCAAGGGCAGTTGAATAGCAACCACCTTTTTCTAAAATACTGTACTTGTAAATTTGATAAATTTTTTCACATTTTTTAATGTTTGTTCTTTAAATGTGTGATTTTTCTCTTATCACGAGAAATGGCTATGAGAGGAATATTTGTGTTCAGCACCAGGCAAAGGAATTGTCAAGGCAACCTTGATCCATTTTGCATGAAACTCACATCTTCGAAAATTTCACACTATATAACACCGATAACTGTCTTGTCACACCACACCACACTGTGACTTAAATTCTCATCCATTTCAGCAAGAACGAACACAAGAAATGTGAGATGTAAAACAGATTCAAATCTCATTCTGAAAGAACGAGCACAAAAAGAAAGAACACAAATATTACAAAATAACTCATTACGTTGATGTATATTAAGAGGAAGACAGCTTCACACCTGGGCGAACGGGGATGCGCACGCAAGGCAAATCCTCTCGGCAGTAGCTGGGCTGTCCAATGAAAACGGACCCGAAAGGCCAACCTCTTTACGTGCTGCTGCAACAGCATCTTTGATCGCAAAGAACACTGAGCTGCCCAAAAAGAGGGTGGGCTCTCCGATACCCTAGAGGGGTAAAAGATGAAAGTGCAGACAGTTAACCTAGAGCAAAAACAAATACCCGCTTCAAGACAACCTCTGACCTTGGAGGAGTAGATGGCATGGGGATTGTTGGAGTCAGAGAGGAGATGGATGTTAAAGCTCAGCGGAAGATCGCACACAGCAGGGATCTTGTACTGAGATGGCCCTCGGGTGTACAGAAGGCCGCAGGGGGAAAACTTTAATTCCTCCATGGTGAAAAGACCCAAACCCTGCATGAATGCGCCTTCAATCTGCACGAGGCGATTTGCGACAAAAGAAATATTGTAATAAATTGCATGACCATGTCAGAAAAACAACAAAAGGCTGTTCTGGATTGTGTCAGGTTTTGGATATTCTCACTTGGCCAATGTCCACGGACGGGTTCAAACTTTGGCCAACGTCGGCAACAATGTTTGTCCTCATGGTCTAAAAAGGCCAAAAAAACAACGTGAGTGTTTGCTACCGCAGCAACAGACTGATACTCGCTTCTGAACGGACCCTGTAGTCTCCGGTGAGGCAGTCCAGCTCCACCTCGCTACAGCAGACCCCATACGTGAAGTAAGGGAAGGGCTGACCCTCCATCTTGTCCCAGTCTATATAGCTGTCTGGACCCCTGAACACACAGGAAGCAATATGTTCACATGCTCAGTTGTTTGAGCTGTTCCTTGAACAGACCTGTCACCACTGGTGGGTCGTGCCCACCCACCAAGTTGCTTGTTTGTCCTAAAATGCTGGAAATTCACCCATTTCCGTTGACTGTAATGCAGTTCACAGTAGACAAATGCTAAAATGAAGGATTCTCTCTTTCTTGTGTTGCTACTTGGGAATCTCCACTAGGTCCTAAGCGGCAAGCAGTTGATGCCTTGAAGGGCTAGCCCTTAACAGCTCCTCTTCGGACGGGCAACACGACACCAACGAAAACCATCCAGTTTTAACTAAAATCAAACAAGTTCAAAAACTTGATTCATCCAAAAGCACTGCATACTCGCACCTGATTGCTCGCTCCCCCACTACCGCAAATACCATACTGTCACTAAAGTCAATGCTGTGAGTTCTGATAGTTGATCATAGACATTGGCACCCCTAAGGCCCCTCGCCAGCAGTACCTGGGCAATGAAATGTAGCTAGTACTACTGCAAACCAATTCTTTTTCACTTCACAGTGATGGCATATCTTAAGCTTTATAGGAATTTCTTGGGAAGAGTTTGCTCACATGGTCCCCCACTTGTGCCATAGATGGTACGTTTTGGCGTCCTAATGACTTATTTCACGAAGTTTTTCGAAAACTGTGTCGATGTACTGTACTGTTGTGTGTTTTTAAGATGTCACATCTGTCGGACATTCACCTGGAAAATCCAGTAGCAGACAAGCTGATCTTCTCCATAACGGCTGCACTGACCTGCAAAGAAAGTCATGGAATACTTTGAAGCTGTTCGGTGTATGGATCGGCCTTCCTCAATCAAATTTCTCATTTCATCCCACCCAACTCTCCCAAGTTCCTTTCGGGTTCTTCTGTCGGACTGGCTCCAGTCGCTGGTAAAGAGTCTGGCAGGCATTCTAAAGAAAGAAATCATATACATTTTAAACACTGTGTTCACACCTGTATCGTTAAAAGTTACAAATAAATACATGCAAATTCTGCAGCTGCGGGAAAAAAACGTATTCTTTTCGCAAATGTTGCATCACGGAATACAATAAGAGGAGCCATTTAGGGTAAAAAGTATTTAACTCATAGGCAAGCCGTAGAGTACTGAGGCAGAATGGTTTTCACATCACACGGGAGGCGCTCTCCAGTGCACTTGGGACTGAACCGAGACCACTTCCGGGAGGTCTGGGAAAGTTTGATTTCATCCACACCAGAGTTCTTTTCTGTGTTCACACTTGACCAACTGAACAATACAAAGGTGGGGAGATCACCAAGAGTTTAATTAAAACAAACTACAGTTTTAGGAGTACGAGTAAAGGTACCGCTCGGGCCTCATTTACTAAAAGCCCAAATAACAGTTGTTAAACAATTGTTCACTCTAACAGATTTCATGCGCAGTTGGTGGGATAGTGATCGATTAAGATTGGAAGTCAAACCCAACATGATGGGGTTGTTGTTTTGATGGTGTTGTAACTGTTCGTATAAAAGGCCAACAAACCTTACTGAGTCACAGAAAAGAAAGCAAGCCCTAATTATAGGGAAGCCCACGAACAACGCAATCCTGTTTTGCACGCGCGAACCTTGAGTCAATCTGGCCATTATTGTGTTAGTGCTTCAAAATGAGCGGTAAAAGTAACAGAAAAAGGTCACAGACCTTGACGGCCATGCCATTGGCATCAGTGCCAAAGGAAGCAGCAGAGATAAATGTGTTGGGAACGGCGTTGGTGCTGGTTTCACCGATGTAGACTTTTGACATCGGGATGTGAAGCTCCCGGCTCACCACCTGCTCGCAAACAAGTGTTGAGTGATTATTCAGGAATTTCTGCCGCTGAGCCATCCACTTCCCTACCTGCTGCATTTTGGTATGGACTCCTTGACCCATCTCTGTCCCGCCATGAGTTACCAAAACAGATCCGTCTTGATAGATGTTCACTAGAGCCGCAGACTAAATACACAGAACGTATTCCACATTGTTTTGGACGACGGCGCCCGAACAGAAACAGCTTACTTGATTCATGACGCCCTCCGAGAAGGCGATGCCATATTTGATCGGGATGATGGAAAGCCCTCTCTTTTTCCAGCGGTTCTGCTCGTTGAATGTGTCCACAGCAATGCGGCGAGAGCAGAAGTCCGACTTGGCCTTACATTCGTCCCAGCAACGCAGCAAGTTCTCCGGGCTGAATTCCACCTTGTAGTGGGTGAGTGACGGCCCTTTGTACATGTTGATCTCCCGAACCTGATCAATCATCCATTAGTTAGACGTTTAAGTCCAATACAATGGTGCCTTGACTAACGGCTTCAATTTATTTCATGACCACACTTGTAATTCAAATCAATCGTTCTTCAAGTCAACCTTTTCCATTAAAATGAATCAAAAAGCCATAAATCCCTTCCTTCCCCTGCAAAATATATATATATATATATATATATATATATTTTTTTAAATAACCAGCAGTGTAACTCTACAGCATTGTACTGTATAAAAGCATACTACAATAACAAAGTTAAATAGATTGTTCAGAATTAAACCAGGTTTGCATTCTGATTTCATGTTTTCAATGGACATTGTGCCGCTCCATCTGGTGCGGGCTTTGGCCATGAGGAGACAGTGTAACATACATCAGGGTTATTGTGGTTAATGAAAAGGAACATCCATCCATTTTCTAATCTGCGTATCCTCACAAAGGTCACGGCGTGCTGGAGCCTATCCCAGCTGAGAAACAAAATAGACAAACTTAAATTGAACAAAAAAATTACGTCAAAGAAATAAAATAAAAATGGCAGTGCTTTAAAAGCGTGATAACTAACTGAAACTACATCTTATGTTTACAAAACTAACAAAAACTATATGTACAACAAAAATGTTCATTTTCATCTTTGTCAATTAATGTCGTACATGAGATTTTGAAGTTAATTTTAAGTATATTTATTTCAGTATTACTATAAGCCCATACTGAAAGACGGGAAGTCAAACAGGAATGACAGGAATTGGAGTTTACATTACTACATAATACTTAATTACTTTTTTTTTTAATCTTGCACAAGACAAAAATTCTGTATACTGTATTAAAAAAACTAAAATTAATAACTAAACTGACGGAAAGTATTTTTGAAAAAATAAAAATGAATACAAAGTAATAAACCCATTCTGAAAACTAATTAAAATGAACGAAGTTTTAAAAAGCCAGAACAAAACAAAAAATAATGATAATAAAAAATCCCAAAGGTTTATAACCCTGACGAACAAAGTTGCAGAGCTGGAGGATCAGCCTGTGACTATTTTTTGCACTGTCTGAATATTGTTGAAAAATGTTTAACGAACACAATATCAATTCTAGCTCAGATAGCCAACCTATGATGTTTCATATTATGTGTGTAGCATTACGCTAGCCAACAGTTTTTGCTTACAAGACTTGATCTGAGTCTTACTGTTTGGTGCTTTCTACTCTCTTTGTTATTAATTTGTTGTTTTATTGTTGTATATATGATATTTGCTCCATGTACAGCACTTTGTATACAGCGATGGTTGTTTTAAAGTGCTCAATAAATACAGTTGAGTTGAGTTGAGTTGAGTTGAGTACAACACAAACCCCAAAAATCGAACGAGCGAAAGCCAGTAACTTGAAACATTTGTCAATCGGGGCACTTATAAGTCAAGGTAATACTGCGTCAAAAGGATTTGATTTTAATTGACCTGATCCACAGGACGCTGTAGCGTTAGCCCCACATCGCTGATCAAGTTCTCTATAACGCAGGCAACCTGAGGCACCCCAAAGCCTCGGAAGGAGGTGTTGGACGGCAGGTTGGTTCTGCAGGCGGCAGCTCGGCCACGCAGGTTTGGAATGTTGTAGGCATTGTCCAGATGAAGCAGGATCTTCTCCGCTACCTGCAAGATCAGCAACATCTGAGTATTGCAATGAAAACCACGTTGACAACAAGCTGTGCGGATCGGTTCATATGATTTGGAATGGTGACCTGACTTGCGCCGTCATCACCATAATTGCGACATCATAGCAGCGCCCAATCAATCGGAGTGTTCACAACCAACATTGTATCTGTCTTCTTCACGTGTCTCTGCCTATTACTTTGTACAAGAATTCAAGCTTTATTCAAAGGAAGCTTTTTGGTAAAACATATTTGTTGTACCATTGATATGAATCAATTTTGGTCTGCCTTTTTTTTCCTGAAAGTGAAGCTTATCAAAATCGGCAAATAAAAAGCCAAGCAAACCCAGCTGAAGTTAAGAGCTTGGTTGAAATTGTTACGTACAAAGATGGATACATCCACTGCGTTGCCAGCATTGGTCCAAATTTGGATATCTGCCGCAAGGATCCTTCCATCTTTCTGGAAGCCAACCTGAAACAAACACACTTGCTCGCAAGCGGCTGAACTACAAGAGGCAGAGCTTTTGGACAAATATGTGCACTACCTTATATTTTCCCAGCACAGGATGCCGTCCACCAGTGATCAGCATGTCCTCACCTCGCTCCAGAACGCAGCGGACTGCACAATTAGTCCTGAAAGGAAAAAAAAAAATCAAACCTCTTTGGTGAAGTAAGAGACTTGAAAAGGATCATTTTTTGAGTTTCTGATGTATGAAGACCCACTTCCACGCAGCCACAGACGTGATACAAGCCAGTATCACGGTTTTAACAAATTTCCCTCCAAATGCTCCACCCAGTCTCTTGACATGACAGCTAACTCGGTTGGCTGGAATGGCCAACGTCTCAGAGACGGCAATCTGAAGAGAGGAGATAAGAGAGCTCGTCTGATGTCATGCGGGCGGAAATGTACGGCAGACAGATACAACGTACCTGAACTGATGTCGGCGACTGAGAAGACGCATAAATTTTAAACTCCGCCTGCTCTCTCACTGGAAGAACCAGTATGCTCTGAGTCTCCATGTAGAAATGCTCCTGGCCACCAATGCGAATCGCCCCTGAACAAAATATCAAAAGGTTGACATTTTGAAGTCATTTACTGGACTGAGTTTGAACGCTGTTTACCTTCATGAACCAGATCAACACTTTTGAAGGCCTCTTCCACGTTTCCTCTTTCGAGCTTCCTCCTTGGCTCAAAGTAGGATGACCTCTTGATGGCATCCTGTTTCAGAGAGGGGCGGAACACTTGTCTCAAACGCTCCATCAAATAGAAGCCGCCATGCTTTCGTATGTCGTTTCCGTCAACCAGACGTCACCAACTCCGGTCCGAAAGGGCCCCTATCCACAATGCGGTCGATGTCTCCTTCCTCCAGCAAATCTCATTCAAATGATCCAGATTGTGATGCAGCTTCTGCAGAGCTTGCTGATGAGCTGATGATTTTAATCAGGTGCGCTGAAGGGGCAAGACATCTAAAACATTGTGGATAGTGGCCCTCGAGGACCATAGTTGGTGACCCCTGCTGTAAATTCACCTCGATAGTAAATATGGGCTCTGACAAGTCTTCATAGCTGATGTTGACTGCCGATGCGGCTCTTCTGGCATGTGCTCTAGTATCCGCCAAAACAGCACACACTATCTGACCAATGCACGACACCTGGACACAAATACAGAAGCAGTTTGCGAACATGCAGACGGAGGGTGGGGGTGGACGCATTTTTCAGAAGTAAAGCAGTTTTTGTGAACAAATGACCATTTTCTTGCATTCAACTACTCCTTGTTGCTATAGAGGCCAAAGAACAAGATTATCGCACAGAAAGTGAAACAGAAGCAAGAAAGTTTTCTAACCATTTTATTATTATTTTAGGAAATCTCCTACAAATTAATGTGTTCTGATTTACTTTGTCCATCATGACCCCAACCTATCTACGTTTTTTAAGCAAAATGACATTCAAAGACATCAGCTGACTTGAACTGATCAATGTTTTTACGTATTTTCTGACATGTTTTTAATCAAATGCTAACCCAGTCATTCCCAAACTCTAGAAGGTATTCAGAAAGTGGTGGGGACATGTCCACACTGTCCACTTCACCTGTTATCTTTACCTGTGTCTGAGCGAGCATTTCTTCATCATAACCTGAAAACATGCGAGTTTTCTTCCCAGGAATATCTTTTGCTGTGATGACATCGACCACGCCTGGAAGTAGCAGCGCATCACTCACATCCACATTACTTAAAAAAAACAAACAAACAAAAAAGACAAAACTTAGTGAAACAAGTGGAACATAGGATATTGACCGGGATTGTTTTCCTCACATGATCTTGGCGTGCGCCCGTGAGCTGGTGACCAGCGACAGGAAAAGCTCGCCATCAGTCTTTGGGAGATCATCGCAGTAAATTGCCTCACCTGTGGCCTGGCTTATGGCAGAGCTATGAATGATGGCACGGCCCACGGGGTCCTGGTCACTTTGGCCCTTTGACACATGCTGAACAATTGGAAGCCATTGTTTGATACGACCATGAGAAATGGACTCTACCTAGAACTAGAACTGGCTGGTATTCCAGAATTGGATTACATTTTCGGTCCCCTTCATGACATTTCAAATAATCCAAGCACAAAATACTGAAGTATGGTACACTTGTTGTGTAAATTATAGTTGTGCAAAGACATAATGTAATAGTCGATGTTGTAGAATTAAAAAAATAATGCTTAAGCATAGCCTAATTTGCCCCCCACCCTCCCCATACTCCCGTCTTGATGACCAATTTATATATATTACATAATAAATCAACTTTTTGGGGAGTAGGATTTGGTCTTCCTTGTAATTATTAAAACATTTTAAAATCACAGACACATTATAAATTATAGTAATTATCGTCTGATGTTTTGTCTCTAAACATAAAAACAATCTTGCTACTAAAAACATTTAAGCCATCTGGTAAAAGAGAAAAAAAAACTGAGCTATACCTGAAATGATGCAATCGAGATAATTGATGTGACCCTGGGTAGACCTAAGGTAAATCTTTTCTGCTATGAGTGTGTCACTCAATCCACAATGCAACCCTGTTCCCCATATTATTAGAAATGGACAATGACATTTGACTTTTTTGTTATATAGCTGAGTTTGCATTGACCATCTGTAGCAGCTAACACAGCTAGCATATACGCTTGTGCAAAAACTCTAACATTAACATTGATTTGCAAACTTGGTACTATAAGTAGAGCAAAACTAAAATTACATTTGCATTTAAATAATATTTTACATTATTTAGTTGCAAAGACTTTATTCAGCATTTTTAAAAGATATGAGTACACGCTAAAGGTTTGCATCAAACAAAGAAAAACATCACATATGTCAAAAAGTATACTGACAGACAAATCAAATTAAATGATGGGTTACCTGCTATTCTTCAAAACAAAACCAAAATCTTATAAAATAAATGGTCTGTTCAATATCCGTCTCCCAGATCTGAACGCAGCCTTCAAAACACATCCCACAGCATTCTGCTTAATAAACTAACGTCTGATGGTATCTTACACAACTTAAAATCCTGCATTCCTGGTTGCATCAGTTCATTCAACTTAATCTGTTACCGGTCACCACCTGTGTACCTCAAGGCTCCATCCTTAGACCCCTCCTATTCATTGTATATTTTCAGTTTACCGTAATCGTCTTCTGAAAATATAATACCTACTTTTATTGCTACATGGTTGAAACCTAGCTCACCCTCTCCAGTCACAGTGGGACAATGTTTTTGGGTCATATTCCCAAGACATACAGTACCTGGAAATGCTGCTGGCTCAGCTGGATTTCTCCGGGTAGTGGTTCCATATTCTCCACAACAATGTTTTCAATCACATTCTGCAAAAAACACTTATTTGAAACCTCCACAACATAAACAAGATCGCCTTTGACGCAAGTGGTTACCATCTTTCTGAGGCTCTGCAAGACCTCAAGGTTGAATTTGAAGAGGAAGCTGAGCGTCAGAGAGCGACGGAATTCCGCTTTTCCTCCCGGAATTGAAGGTGGGAAGTCAAACTCCTTCACGAGCACCTCATAAGCCTGGCTCAGGGTTTCAGCATTCCAAGGTCTGAATAAGATTCATATTTAATTTAACACCATTAAATAACTCGACTTTAAAAAGTTAAACTTTCTCAAGAACGAAGAATTGGTCTCTTTGCCTTGGACCTAACATTTGTGGACTGATCACATTCTTCCCAAAAAAAAAAAAAAAAAAAAAAAAAATCATAGAAACAGATTTTAAAAAAACAACACAATGATACAGAGTAAATAATGTATCATCATTGTTTAATCTTGTGGTCCAACATCAAATCCGCCTTACCGTGCAACAATAGTGGCGCAAGTTTGGACAGCTTTGGCTGTTTTTGGTCCTACACCGCCAAAGTATATACTGACATCCTCCACTACTCTGAATCCTTCGGAGAACAACACTCGCATCCCGGTTGTTATTGTGGCAAAAGCACACTCCTTCCTTGGAGCCTGGCGAAATGCACGAACAAGTTCTCCCTGTAGCAGAAACATGGAATGGGACCAAATATTACATGTTGCTGTTAATGTGTCTGCTTTTGAGGTATTCTCAAAAGAGACAATTTTACCTTTCTGGAAAAAGGGATCAGCACAGAGACCACAATTTCCTCTGGCCTCAGCACCGTTTTCCCAAAGCTCAGAAAGAATTCCTGATTGAGGGGAACCTCTCGCCATCCTCCTGGTGATTGACAATCGCAATCATGTGAGCCAGCACAGATCATCTCAAGTGTCCACAGTTCCTGTTGCCAAAATCTCACCAGAGGAGATGGTGCTCACGCTGCAATTCCCAGCAGCCAGAATTGGGTTCAGGTCTGAATTTGGATTCGCACTCATGATGTGTCCTCCGAGGGTCTAAAGAAGGAAAATGTTTGTCAGATGATTCTTCTTCTTGTTCAGTGACTTCCTGCGTATTCATAGAGGTGGGGGTGTACAGCGATCCCTCGCTCGATCACGCTTCATTTATCACGGCTTCAGCACATCACGTTTTTTTTTTTCCCTGAGTATTGTATTTAATAGGGATAGCTGGCCCGGAGCAAGCCAGAAGCAAACCGTCTTTCGCGTTTTTTCACTTATCGCGGCAGGGTCCCGGTACCCATTAACCACGATAAGTGAGGGATCACTGTATACTTACGGCAACATTACAGATCTGCTGGCTCCCCACATTCCGCAGTTGTTGGATCAGCGCTCTGAAAAGCTCTGTCTTCTCCTCTGGAAACTGGCGACAGAGTTTCTTCAAAATAGCCCAGATCTCGGAGAGTGGGAACCCGGTTCCCACCCAAACACCTACAGGGAACCAAGAACTAGTGATGTGAACAATCATTGGCTGTCAAAGCAAAGTCAAATTCGAGAAAGCTGCTATGATTTAAGAGGTACCAACCTATACAAAAAAAATCCAAAACAAGAACTAACATCAAGCAAAGAAGTGTATCTGTCATAGGTGTTAATCTGTGTAATAATTTTGAAACGGACCTGAAAACGAGTAAATCACTTGCTGAGTTCAAAAATAAATTCAAGAGAATAGTACAAAAAACCTACATCAATCAGAGTTAAGATGATAAATTCTAAAAATTCTAAACATTCATTAAATATAATAATAAATCAAAATTAAGCTGATAAATGGAGTAATGTACTGCAATATCCATTATGAATACAAGAGAAAATCGACATATAAAAGTGCTAGGGTGTGCATGTGCTTGTGGAGGCTCTCAGTCGTACAGGAAAGTTCCATCGTAGAAAGGGTTCTGTCAGTCGTCATCTGTACCTGTGGGTAAAAAACAAAAAACAAAAAAGGACGTTTCGCTTCTCTCACAGAAGCTTCGTCAGCGGTACAACCAACAGAGAGAAAAGAAGAGAAGGGGTGTCTGTGTACCTTATATTGCCGGCCTCTCAGAGAAAATACAAAGAATATTTCTACAACATGATATTCCTGTTTATTTTAAACCGATAAACACATTGAGACAAAAACTAGTACACCCCAAAGACCGGGTGGAACAGAAAAGAGATGGTTTGAAAGGGGAGTAAAGGAAGCGATTTTTGTTAAAAAAATTTTCACCCTCTCTGAACCGTGAAGGAGGTATCAGATTTAACCTGTCTCCTATTTACAATAACTTGTTGACCACCAAGGGACATAGACATGCTGATCAGGCCAACTGAAAGTAGCTATTCAGCCCTAGCCCAAACAATAGGCCTAATCAAGACCCAACGATAGGGAATTTAGAAATCAATGGGCCTCTTCACCATAGGGGCGTGACGAACCATCCCCACCCAGTCCTCAAATAGGCCACGCTCAGCTTTTTAGCGCAGAGCAACTTCCCGGAGTCTTCACGGAGACTTCAGGGTTGTCTACCGCTGACAAAGCTTCTGTGAGAGAAGCGAAACGTCCTTTTTTGTTTTTTGTTTTTTACCCACAGGTACAGATGACGACTGACAGAACCCTTTCTACGAGGGTGTGTATGTATAAAATCCCGGTACAAACCAAAAGTTGTAACAATATCACGGTTAAGGGTAAAAGCATGAGCTTTTACAGAGACTTCTTTCTTTTTCTGATTGAGATAAAAATGATCTATTTATTCAGTGTGTGGACAGTGTGGGACAAATAAAAGATATCTTATCTTATCTTATATTTAAATACATAACTTGGGGTAGGACTAGATACGTTTTTTACTTCTTCCTACTCCTTTGAACATAATAATTGTGTATATGATGACTGGTTTCTCTTTCCTTTTACCATTTTACTTACCGTTCTTTCTGTCAGTTTATTACTGTATATGTTTTTATGTTCAATAAATAACAACAGCAACAACAAAAATGGACATTACCCACCATGTGTGGTCTCAGTCACCTCAAACAGCTCCAAGACTCGGATGGGTGATATAATCAATGGATGCACAACGCCCTTGAATTTAAAATCCGGACCTTTAAAACAGACTACAAAGGTCAGCATATTGCACACAGGACTCTTCTCCTCAGACAACATTATATTCATTTTGACCTAATTTAGTGTTTCCCATGATCAGTGGAGCTTCTGGGTTGCTAGTCTTCAGCTGGACCAGCTCTTCAAGCAGGACAGGGGACACACATGTGACCCTCTCCCCACGAAAGGTGAGTGTTTGAGGGCTGGAGGTCTCCGCCATCAGCTGCAGGCAAGAATATAACAGGCCAAATGAGCAGTCCAGCACGCGGTATCCATCCATCCATTTTCTATCTATTCTAAGTCGGGTTAGCGTGAGCTGATTTGGTGAGGTAGGCAGCCATTTGCATGGTATGTATAGATGAACACCCATTTACACGCACGTTCACACCTCTGAACAATTTCAAGTATTTAATTAGTCGGAGGAGTATGATTTTTGTCATGTAATGGAGGAAGCCAGCGTACCTGGAGGAAACCTACAGTATGCAACCAGGGGAAGAGCATGCAAACTCCACATATCAGAGATTCCAACATGGGCCCGTTTAACTGTGAGGCAGACTTGCTAACCACTCGCCCACTGTACTGCTCCACTCTGTACATGCTGAATGGAACTCTTTGTGTGTGAAGATACTTACAATCAGTTCGGGGGGAAAGATCAGTTCTTGTGTATGATCTATGGGCAGGAACTGTGACTTGTCAAACAACAAGGGAGTTTCCTGTAAAGCATCACATGGACAAGTAAAGAATTTGTCATGCTAGCTTGACGGGAGGTTATGAAACGTTTTTCATGGGAAATCCCAAGAAAAGAAACAGCAGCAAAATACCACCAGTTCAACTGACTTCAGGGTTTTCTTCTTTGCTGCCACTGTTGGTGCCTCCATTGAGTTGACAGCAATTGGCTTCCTGCTTGGGTTAAACACCTTTTCAGTTTCAAAGCTTAGCTACCAAAAAATAATTTCTGCTATGAATTCAATGGACTGTAGCAGACACACCTGACAAAAGGTCCTGCAGCCATCAATGATTGGACGATAGCCAGTGCAGCGGCAAAGATTTCCTGAATCATGAGGGCAAAGGTCAAATAACATGTCTGATCAGTGCCCTCTGCTCATTTTGGAGGGTGAAACACAAATCATATCAGTCTGGAAGTACCGGTGAGTGCCTGAGTGATGTCCTCTAGGCTGGGCTGAGGGTTATTCCGAAGGAGGGTGTACATGGACATCACCATACCCGGAGTGCAAAAGCCACACTGTGAGCCGTGCGCCTTCGCTATTCGCTCCTAGAAACACATCAGGCAATGCTGATGACAAACGAACGCTGTGTTCACAAAGGCTGTGTTCGAATATGTTGTTTCAGGTTGTATGTAGCTTACAGTGAAGCCAGGCATTTGCGAATCTTAAGACTCCTGTGACATCGATTGGCAATAACAAGCCCATTTTAAATAGCACAGCCACGTTTGCAGATGCATATATGCTTTTAGCTTATATTTTATATTTCATTCTGTACTGTGTACAGTTCATTTTTGTTAATGCAAATACTTTTTGTTGGCTCTACTTTCTTCCTTTCAAAATGTTGCAGCTGTAAATTGTGAATGTCTCCATTGTAAAACAATAAAGGTTTTCTTATCTTATCTTATCTTTTTGTTACTCATGGATTACAAATATTTGTAGCAGGGCCAAAAGCAGGTGGAGGTTCATTGTATCCTCTATATCAGGGATGGCACTATCCAACCAATTAACAAGGCCATTAATAAATTTGGGGCGGCCCGGTGGTCGACTGGTTCGGTCGGGTACTCCGGTTTCCTCCCACATTCCAAAAACATGCGTGGCAGGTTCATGGAACACTAAATGGTCCCACGGTGTGATTGTGAGTGTGGATGGTTGTTCGTCTCTGTGTGCCCTGCGATTGGCTGGCAACCGGTTCAGGATGTACTCCGCCTTTCGCCCGAAGACAACTTGGATAGGCTCCAGCACGCCCCGTGACCCCGTAAGAGGATAAGCGGATCAGAAAATGGATGAGTGGATTGACAAATTTGTACAACCACGATGCAGTTGCCACAATCCATCTACATCTCCCATAATGCTCGCGGTACCAGCAAGTCACTCGCCAGCTGATTTAAAATTCACCCTTATCACAACTTACACTTAATCAAACAAACGTAACGATCAAAGCACATGGGACACCCACAAACCAACTAATACAATGGCAAAATAGCAAAGCTTTAACCCGCACATTATTTTGGCACTTTTGTGATATTGCAAACAATCGCGGAGAAGTTTAGGATGCTAGCAAAGTAGCGTTCGCAGTAAACCGCAACATTATAGAGTACCAACATTGTAAACTTAACACAGTTAAAGCAGGCAAATTAAATCCCACAATATAAAAATAAAATAAATTGAAACGCTCTTTACCTGTTGGCTGCACACCGGGTCAAGATGTTGCGACATTGGTTCTGTCGCAACATCTTGGTGTATAGGCGGATTTTTTCTTTCAAGCCTATCTCGGTCACGTGACATGCAGAAAATTTATAGGGACTGTTCGCTAAGATGTACTATACATTCATTATACCTGTTTATGAAAGTGCAACCCCGTCTCTCTGTTGTTTGTTTGGCAACCGACTCCCACCATTGCTGGTAATAAGGACAGTAAGTTCAGACATGGAGCAACATCCCCCCACGGACTTGAATTTAAATTTGAATTTGACTTTTATATGGTCTCCCATAGGAGAAAATTGTCTCGGAGGACAGGCCCCCCATGCCGCTACATACATCGGACAATACATTTCAGGCATATGCACACCCAACACTGCCCTCATGTCCTCCCGCTTGTCTGTCTGCCTCCCTCTAATTGTTTATTAATTAAGATGATAGCCTGCGATATGAATGAGGTTTTATATCGATTTAGTTTGCAGAGAGGAGTCTGATACCTCCTTCCTGAATTTAGGAGCCCGAATTGGGAGTGTAGCACATGGGAAGGATTGGCTAAAATGTTGTTGGCCTTTTTAATAACAGACTGGACATATATGTCCTGGGGAGATGGACAAATTCATTTTAATTGCTAAAATTAGCTAATTAGCTGCGGCTTTTAATCAGGTGTGTTGTGTAGTCTGGAAATTACAGTAAATCCAAAAATTTGAGAGGGAGGGGAAATTATAAACATGTTTCCTCTACGTCAGTTTGGCAGACACAGATTCACCTTTTAGGGGGGAAAAAAGTTTTACGTGTGTGTTTTGTGTGTGTGTGTGTGGGGGGGGGGGCAACCCCATTTTTCGTGTAAAACGTACATTGGTAGTTTATCATCATTTTTTTTTTTTTTTAATTTGGGGAATTACACAAAATTAAGAAATCACAGTGAGTCAGCTCAAAACCACAACCAGCAGGTGCCATCTTGAGTGTACAGTAAGTTATCATATGAAGGATACAGGCCTGACCTGGACCGGGTGGATCCTGGTTTTAGTGCTCCCAATGCCTTCCACTGTGGTGATGGCGGCTCCGTGAAGCTGGCAGAGTGGAAGCAGGCAGGCATTGACAGAGTAATGACTGACGTGACGGTAAAGGTGTCCAACTTTCTTCGGGTTATACTTCTGCTTTAAATGATCAAACATGTTAAAACCAGTAAATGAAGCACCAAGATGTGCAAAGGTCGCAAGATTCCCGGGGCAAAAGGCCAAGTTTTATGCCCACATTTCTTGACCAATTGAATATATTCCAACTTCGAGTCTCACACGCCCCACATGAAGAATTTCATTGTAAAATACTGTAACAGTAAATTATTGGCAGCAGTGATGCTGGGAATTAACTGTTATTTTACAATGCAACTACTGTAATTCATTTTTACAGTGTAGTATTGTATTTTGAATTACAGCATATTAGCAAAAGATAACAGTGGCTGGTATGGCAATTTTCATATACTGTTATTTATTTTAAGAGTGAACTCCTGTATTTTAGGATAAGTGTATTATTGTATTTACACACTACATGCCACTTTAGATATTAAATCTGCTATTTAATAATAATAATAATAATAAGGCAGCAGATGTATATGCTCCTTATCAGTCACACACTCAAAGTGTCCAAAATGGATTCACTGCGCATGTACACTCTGGGGATAGTAAACTACATATGCAGCCAAAATGACATGACACGGAGAAGAGCGGAATTTGAACAGCGCAGCCTTTGGTTACTGGACAAGCCGCTCTGGCTCCTGAGCCACAGCTGCGCCGTATTTTGACGTTTCTTGTATTTGACTGAAATTGTGTACCTTCTTGTGCTAAAATCTATCACAAACGCATCTAGCATCATGCATGCACCACGTATTCTCCTGTCTGTGCCAGCTGAAAAAATGAGCAGGTTCAAGTGTACCGCTACCTTGGACGACCCATTATAAAGTATTGATGGGGAAATGGAGCAATGCTGTAAAGTTTGATAAACATCTGGTGTTCCCATTCAGAATGTCTTGTATTCACCCAAACAGCGTGCCCGCAATCCTCGTGGTTAATTTTAACGCTAGGCGATGAATGTTGCTTTTGTCAAGCAGTGGAGATCGGAATGTGGTCCCTATCTCTACTGCTTGACAGAAAATACTGTTTTATATTGTTAAATTAAACTTTGTTATTCTTAACCAAGCATTAACGTGGGCGTGAATATTTAACAATACTTTACAGAAAAGAAAATCAGAAATCTACATCAACCCAGTTTTATGCTGTAACTCTTCATTTACATGCTATGACTGAATATTTAACAGCATTTTACAATTATTATAAATATAAACAGTAAATGTACTGTGGCATTTTTACAGAGGTTTGTTTCAGTGTACACTGAAACAAATTAATGACAGTAATTTAACAGCTTTTTAGTTCAGTTTCACCTCTTCGGCATTCACATGCAATTTGTTCAGAAATTGCATTCACTCATTGACTGGATGCTGTAATTGTACATTCTCTTTTTTTCCCCTTCAGGCCAAACCTATTTTTCTGGTTTTGTTGCAATACTAATTGAACTGAGGTGTCATGTTCTAAATGCAGTTATAAAATCGATACTTTCGATGAAAGGTGAGTGAGTGAGCAAATATGCAGTGCATTTCACCGTTGCCCACTGTTGTATAATGATTACCTTGATCCACATTGAGGTATTGCTTCACCAAGTCTACGCTGCAGCTAACAATTATTGACTATCAGGTATATTCAGTGTCCTGTACTCCCCTCAGAATCTAATGAACCAAATGCTCTCTACCTCGATTTAAAGCAAAAGTAGTGGAAGAGTGCATTTTGAAGGATACCAAATGCTTTTGTTTGCAGGTCGATAGCGTGAGACCATCACAGTGCAGGCCCCGCAGCCTCCTCCACCGCAACCGTATTTGGTTCCAGTTAACCTCACTTCACATCATGGTCAAGTTGCAATAGTCATTAATATTTGCTTAACACTCACATGATCTCTTATGATGAATGAATGCATACAGTAAACGTGTTTGTGCAAGCGGAATAGAAGGATACGCTTTTCTCTGAGGAAGGACAGTAGCGTCGTTTCAGGATCAACATGTTTCTCCGTCACCTGTTGAGTGCACAAGTCAAGTGATTTTCACGCTATTTCTAACAATTTCATTTCGTGGTAAGGGAGATAATGCAGCACAAATGCAAGTGGACATGTTCATCAACTTAATGTACAGTACATTGTTTACGGGACTACTTGGATGTTGATCAGCAAAGTATGCCAACACACTGTGTGCACTGATTTTGTTGTTGTTGTTGTTGTTGAATTTACTGAATTTTATTTTGTCAAGTGGTTGCACAAAATAAAACCATGAGGACCTAGATAATTTATTTGGTGCAACCATTTGAAAAAAGTATAATTGAGTAAATTGAACACACCATTTTTTCCAGTGTACAGCTGTGGAAAAAAATAAGAGACCAAAAGAAAAAAAAACCCGCAAACGCTCAAAATAAAAATATTCTTCTTCGAAATTTGGGAGTTATATTGTCCCTAGTTTATCGCAGTGGTTCTCAACCTTTTTACACCAAGTAACATCTCAAAAAATACTTGTCTCTCTCAGTACCACCGTAAATAATTGTTTGAAAACAAAAATAGCTCTTAAAAATGATCTTGAAATATATTGTAGGTAAAAATGTACAGTAATTCAACTGATGTGTACTTCATAAATGTACTGTCCTGGATTCAAAAAGATGTCAACAATTTCATTCAGTTATTCTTTCTCATACTACCAGGAGGAACTGGGGTACGTACCACACTTTCTAGTTTGTAAAATAATAATAATAAAAACTTTCCTTTTACAAAGACATGTACCTAGAAATAGTACCCAGCTTCACGCTAGCTACACTTGCACAATCAAAGCAAATATAAAATTAAATCCACCACTTTTATTAACCCGTTCACGACTTTGATGTCGAATTTCAACCCAGGTATGTTTTTAATCCCCATGTGTTATACAAATGTAACTTCACCAGACACTCCTTCGCTAAATCTGCACAACTGATGAGTTTACAAAGCCAACAAGAAAATGTTGATTGACATTGCAACAGAGGCAACATTATTTGCTATTGTTGCTGTGAGATGTAGTTCTAATATTGTGCACGTCATCTGCACATATCCATCCATCCATCCATTTTCTAATTTGCTCATCCTCACAAGGGTCGCGGGTGTGCTGGAGCCTATCCCAACTGTCTTCGGACAGTAGGCGAGGGACACCCTGAACTGGTTGCTAGCCAATCGCTGGGCACACATAGACGAACAACCATCACACTCACGCCTTGGGACAATGAATGTTCCATTAGCCTGCCATGCATGTTTTTTGGAACGTGGAAGAAACCCAGAGTACCCCGAGGAAACCAACGCAGACACGGGGAGAACATGCAAACTCCACACAGGAATCGAACCCAGCACCTCTGCACCGCGAGCCCGACGTGCTAACCATTCGTTACCGTGCCACCCCGTATGCACATAATGAAGAGAAACTGCTCTTGAATTGGGTCTCTTTCGGTTGTACGAGTCTACTTAATGAAGTGTGTGAATCTGACACAAGTTGAAGCCATCCACGCAGCTACAAAAAAAGGACAAACTTACCTTTTTTCCGTTGACAAAGAAGCACAAAGTGTCTCCTGTTGCGCCGGCAGACATTTTCACGAAAGAATTGTCTATGAGTCGATTCTCACAGCTCCTTGTTGATGATAGTTCAGAGCTAAATGGTGTCGTGTGTGGCTCTATGCGCAGACTTCTTTTGAAAGCGGGGGCGTAGCCGGTTTTGCCATCATTTCAAAATCTGGACAGTCTTTGAGCTCACTGCTTTTTGTCATTGGTTAAAATTACGTCACATGGTTTATGGACGTGTTCTCTGTCAGAATATCCAATTCGGGCATCCCCTTGTGTTAAACTCGCTTAGCCTTTGGCATTTTTAAGTGGAATTTTGGCAGTTTTTTTGGGGCCAAATGATTTGTTGTGTGGCTGCGGGCTGTCCCACTCACGTCAGCCAAGGTGTGTGGGTGTCTCGTTTATCGAAAAGAAATGCGGGAGGTAAACACTACATTCATCAAGTCATGAACCAAATCTAACATCACTACTTCAAACAGATGATTTAAAATAATTTGTTTTAACGGGCAAATGTCCAAAACACATCCGCCCTCCTTTGACAGTCTTCGTTTGTAAGAAAGAAAGAAGAAACAAAGATTTTGATGTAATAATCGCAACCTGTTTCTTTTATGATTAACTATCAAGCCATGTAAATGATCTCAGATTAATGTAAATACTGTATATAGAATATTGTTCCGGGGAAAATCCTTCACATAACACTACAACCCTACTTTGAAGCACTCTTTAAAAATAATACATTTTTGTCATTGCGTTAAATGAAAATGTATATATCAAAGGTTTATTCACTGTTAAAGCACCAGCAGATGAAGTTCCTGCTCCTGAAATGCACTACCTCACTTTAACCCACAATAGTCACAAGTGCCTTTGTTTATATTGTTTATATTGTTTAGATTACATATTATGTCTTTTTATACAGTGTAGTTGCTATCTTATCTTTAGCTGTGTGTGTTTAATGCACAGCATGGGCGTCATTAGGCCTATTTTAGGGAGGCTTCAGCCTCCCTAAAAATGCCTTTAGCCCCCCTAAATAATTTCATTGCATTATTTAAAAAAAAGTATTTATTTTTCCTGTACTTTTGCTAATATATTGCATCAAATTCAATGTAATGTGGCCATTTTAAATTATGTTTCGATAAACTGCCATTATGGTAATGTTAAATCTCCCAGGTTTCCTGAACGCAACAGGTGTTGTGTTAGCATTTGACGTGTCTGTCACCATCGCCACATCAAATGCTAACACAACAACTGACAGTTCATTGCCGAAAGTCAGGTTGAGTCGACAGCATGGATATTC